TGAAGACTGCAATTATTTGCCGTGACACTTACAATAATTTTTTCGTATTAATTTTTTTTGAAAAAGAACTCATGTTTACTTAGTTAGTTGCATTAATAATTTAAAATATTAACCTTTATGGACATATGTTTTTTATTTGGATATATGTTTATGTTGGTATGTTGGTTATGTTGGTATATGTTTTTTGTTTGGATATATGTTATTTGGACTGAGGATATATGTTTTTTATTTTTCTTAAATTTTGATTTGTACCTTATTTCAGTTATTTTCGTTTAAACTCAAAGAGTTAACAGCGTTTGATGTCCAATAATAATGATATATTAAATAGAGAGTTTTATCGCAATAATTTTTTAGTCCGTGAAAACGAGGTAGGATAATTTTTCTTCCCGATTTATTGAAATAATGTTTTATTTTAAAATGTGTAAGTTTGAAAACGCTCGTGGTTCCTTTAAGATAGTAAACAATTAAAAATCAGTTTTTAAACGCTTTAGGAGTTTTGATCTTGATTTTTGAAGTATAACAATTGTAAACTGCAATAGTTGTTTTCAGCATTTTAATTTTTTTTGTTTATTTTTTTTTATTGAATATATATTGGTGGCATATGAATATTAATTTATTGATATTGAAATGTCAAGGTGTTTTATGTAGCTTTAATGTAAGAATGAAACAAAAATATTGTTTAGCTCTAGACTCCTTGAATTTTTAAAAAATCTCAGAAGCAATGATTCTTAAAACTTTTACTAAGTAAATTTGAAATCGGTGAACCTTTTTTTTTATAACCGTCGTTGAACAGCCGACCCAATTTTATGGGTTTACGACTACTATTGTTCAACTCCGCAGCCTTGTAATTTTGAACACAATCCAGAAGACAAGGGAACTCCTGGATCAAGTATTGGGAGAAATTTTGCCTTCACGGTGGACTTTTTGATGTAGTTAACCCGTATTTGCGTTACATGGAGAGGACGACCACGAGAACCTCCCACGGTTAGCCTGACTCTTAACTCATGATCCGCCGCCTACCACTGAGGATATTTCACTTTAGCACTGTGGTCGGTGCAAGCCGGATGCGGAAGTCGTATCGATTGTGATTCGAACCCGGTTCGCCTCATTGGAAAGCGAAAGCTCTATCGCCTGAGCCAGTGTTTCCCAAAGTGGTACGCGTACCCCCAGGGGTATGGGAGCAGTTTAGCGGGGATACTCGTTCTTATGCGTAATATCTTGCAACAAACGAAAATTTCAAAAAATATTATTTAAAAACAAAGCTAGCCATGATAATTTACGATTATGTATTTTTCTGTTGGCTATTTTTTGCGGAGTTAACTGTTACAGCAAACACAAAATCATTCTTCTCACTGATGCATGTAAACCTATTAACAAAACTTTGTACCAAAAAAGAAAAATTTAAAAAAAATTACATTAATTTTTTTATTTTTGGTACACAGCGTTTCGAAAAATTTAGAAAGGGTACACCAAAGTCATAAGTTTGGGAAACACTGCCCTGAGCCATCGCGGCTCGGTAAACCTTGTTTAAAATAAAGTGGATTTGTGAGGTAATGTTCCAAACTTCTGATGATTTTACTTTGAGAATGAAATTATATTACAATTAACGATGTGGGCCCTTTTTAATAATTATATAAAAAAGAAACGAGCTAAATAGTTATTTAGCTTATTTTTTCCACTTTTATAATGAGTTTAAAATTTGCCGTCCTATCTTTAACAGTCCTTCCCTTTTTAAAATTAAAAAAATTATTAAAGTTCACATCGTAAGCAATACATAGATTGTAATTTATCTTAGAATCAGTGACGTGCAGAGGCGTTTAGGCTAACTGTTAAAATACTATTCGAAGTTAGTATTTTGAAACACCGGAAATTTTAATTTAAAGCCCCTGGAAAGAAAAGCCTGATTCTTATAAGAGGAAATCTATTTAAATTTTTTTATAAGTGTAAGATTTTCTAAAATTATTTTCAAAAATTTTTTTTTTTTTTTAAATCTTAAGAATATTTATGTTGTAATGATAACTTCATATTTTTTATTTTTTTTTTGCATTTATCACATCCAAGATTATTCATCTTTAATTCTTCATAAAGTGTTGTTTTTTTTTTTAACAAAATAATACTTCTTAAAAATTTGGTTTCATTTAAAAAATTATGAGTTTAAAGTGAAAGTATCCTTATTTTTTTTCGATTGGATGGTACATCAACTAGATGTTTGAGTGGTTGATAACCTCTTTCGCCCCTTCTTTCTTTGCACGACACTGTTTAGAATGATTTATCTTTAAAAGAAGACATTTGATTTGATTGTTGAGTGATGATTCGAAGAGAAAATACGAAGACAGAGTAATAGAGTAATCTAAAATAGTCAAATTATGTTTAAAAAAAAAATACATTTAAGTACGGTGAATTGATTTATAAACAGGTCAAACAACCTTCCATTTTATCTCCTTTATTTTGTAATTATTTTCAAATATGGAGCACAGAAACCCACACACTTTTTTTTTCTTATTTTTAATTGATTTTTATATGATAATAAAGAAATAGAAGGATCTAATGAAATGACTTATAATTGCCACATTGATTTCTTAATAATACATTATGTCTGTAAGGTCCATCATCGCCATCTGGTGCCTGTCAACTTAACTTATTTTCTTTCACCTCTAATTATAGCTTACTTCTCTTTTTCTTACGACAATTTAAAATTAAAAAAAAGAAGAAAGAAAATGAAATTGTAGATAAGGAGCGAGGAAAAATAATCATCTTAAAAATCGTAATCGTTTAAAGATTACGCAAGCGTGATTGAAAGTGTAAACATTTAGGGAAAACGAGGACACGGGATAAATTAGATTCGACCTGACGTTGACAAAACATTTGCGGAAATTTTTGGTAAATTTAATTTTTATCATTCCGCTATGTTAGGTAGTAATAAAGCTTTACAATTGAAACCATTAGATGCTAGTCCTTTATACCAAAGACGAAAATTGAGTGCGGCTCATGAAAAAGAACACGAAAACTCCGATGTGGATCCTGACTATGCGGAGCTCGGTGCTCCGAGTTCAACCTCGGGAATGTAAAGTTGATTTTAATTATTATTTTCAATGCTGTTTTTATAAATATTAAGTTTACATTTCGATTCGAAAAACATTTATAAAAAGTTGTGATACTTATATTGTAAATAATATTTGTTATCTGATTATTTTGGTCACAAAATTCCAAAGTGAATTCAAATTAGTTAGAAAATTCAATTCAAATTAGTTAGAAAATGCTGTTTTTCTTGAAATTGTAATTAATGTTTGCCTTATGTTATGTATTTGATTTTTATCATTATTTAAGTATTTTCTTCTTTGTATTTAATGTTTATAATAAGCTTTACTCATATTATGTAAAAACTTTATAACTTATGATTTTTTTGTTTTGTTTTTAATTTTTGTGTCATTGTAAAGATTTTTGTGAGAAAAAAAATTATGAAGCATAAATTAGTTTTTGTTTATTTGTTTTTATCTTTTGATTTGTTGTTCATATACAATACATAGATTTTAACTTGTCTTGTGTTTCTATATTAATTTTAATACATTTAAAGTTAGATTCTCTTTTTAAGCTTAAATACACATATTTTATGTAACGTTTCTTAAAGTTTATTTTTTCCCTTTCCTTTTTAAATACAGAGTATTTTATTAATAGGATCTGAATTTTATTGATAAAAGTTTTTCCTTGAGAAAATGCATCATTTATTCAAATATTTTTAAAATGTCATTCTTTAATTTTTCTAACTTTTACTTTTAAAACATTTCATGTTTTATATACAATTTAAACATTTTCCTCCAGCTGTTTTTTTTTTAAACAAAATATTATTTTTATTGTTATTAATTATAAATTTTAGTGTGTGAAAATAATTGTTAACTAGACCTTTTTTTTTCAGTGTTTCTGCACAAATACATGTCTCAGTTTTGTTGGAATCTATAATTAGAGATTAAACTGTGGGAATTATATTGATAACATCATATTTTCTCTCGTTTTTTAAATTTTTTTAACAAAATATTATTATTTTTTATTGTTATTAATTATCACTTTGGATGTGTGAAAATAATTATAACTTACTTTATAGACCTTTTTTGTCAGNAAATGCATCATTTATTCAAATATTTTTAAAATGTCATTCTTTAATTTTTCTAACTTTTACTTTAAAAACATTTCATGTTTTATATACAATTTAAACATTTTCCTCCAGCTGTTTTTTTTTAAAACAAAATATTATTTTTATGGTTATTAATTATAAATTTTAGTGTGTGAAAATAATTGTTAACTAGACCTTTTTTTTCCCAGTGTTTCTGCACAAATACATGTCTCAGTTTTGTTAGAATCTATAATTAGAGATTAAACTGTGGGAATTATATTGATAACATCATGTTTTCTCTCGTTTTTTAAATTTTTTTAACAAAATATTATTATTTTTTATTATTATTAATTATCACTTTGGATGTGTGAAAATAATTATAACTTACTTTATAGACCTTTTTTGTCAGTGTCTGTACACAGATACATGTCTCAGTTTTGTTAGTATCTGTAATTAGAGATTAAACTGTATCTAACATAACATAACAACTGTATAATTTTTTTTTTTTATATAAATTTTTTTTGAAGAAAAAGTTTTTTTTATTAAATTTTTTAATAATCTTTTTTATTTAATTTTTTAACAAAATATTATTTTTTATTGTTATTAATTATCACATTGGGTGTTTGAAAATAATTGTTATAACTTACTTTCTAGACCTTTTTTCTCCAGTGTTTGTACACAAATACAAGTCTCAGTTTTATTAGTATGTATAATTAAGGATTAAACTGTCGGAATTATATCTATAACACAATCTTTTTTCTTTTCAGTTTTCCCTTTTTGAGTCATGTTTTTATTTTACCTAATAATTATTTCATTAGAAATCTTATTTTTTTAAAACTGCTTGTTTTTTGAAAAACATATTTATTTTAATTCTGTATCTTTTAATTGATAGGAATATGTCTTTGGGTGCCATGTTTTGTTGTAAATGTGGAGAAGGCTTTGAACCTCATGAAAAAATAGTCAACTCTAATGGGGAAGTGTGGCATCAACAATGTTTTGTGTGAGTGCGTTTTTTGTTTTTAATTGTCATTTTTATTCTATTCACACAAATTGTTATGAAAAAATTGTTTTTGCAGATGCTGTCAGTGTTTCAGACCTTTCCCAGAAGGTACTTTCTATGAGGTAATTGACTTTCCGTGAAAATAATTATTTTGAAATGCTTGTTTTAGCAATTTTTATTAAAATGTTTGATTATGGAAAGTATGTAATGTATTTTGCACAAAAGATGGCTACTTATTATCAGACCTGTAGAAATTTAATCTGATGTGCTTAAATATTTAATTGTAACATTGTTATGGCAGTGCAATAACTCAAGATGCTAAAAATTATAAAGATTTAAAAAAACATTTTGTAATTTGTCACTGTATTTTGTACAAAAGATACTTATTGGCAGACTGTAGAAATTTGTCTTGATGGATTTAAATCTTCAATTGTAGTATTCCAATTGCAGTGCAATAACTAAATTAAAAAAAAAGGTTAACTGTATTGCCTATTAAAAGACTCATAAACTCTAACAGCAGTATATTTTAAAAACACAAACTGCTGTCATTTTATATTTACTTAGTATTTTTAAATTTTAATGAACATAGCATTTATTATGATAAAATAATATCTTAATTTTTGTAATAAAGTATTTGGTGTATTAATTTAAACATCATATTATGAGGTATACACAAAACCAGCACGTACAACTGTATAAGGGTTTTCCAACTTTTTTTAGTATCTATGGGGAAAACAATAAAAATTTTAATGAATATCATTAGTAGTGTTATAAATAAAATAATAAACAAAAAGACCTCATATTAATTTTTCTTCTTTTGCTCGGTTGTATCAAAATAATAAAGTAAAATTTTTATATGTTTGGCTTGGAAAACAAATTAGATATCTCTTTTTCTTTTGTAAGGTTGCATAACTCTAATATTGTTTAGCAATATTGTTGCATTATGATTTGTGCATAAGTTTTCGCTTTCATCATGTTTAAAAATATAGTTTTCCTTTATATAATTTACAGGAACAATTGTTCATTCATATATATCAGAGTTCTCCCTAGGAATCAACATGTTAAGGGTGCTTCCTCTCAGAGAAAGGAAATTTGAAAGGGCATTCACCACCGTTAAAATTTATCAAAACATGTATTGTTATGTAATAATTAAATTTGATACTCAATATTTAAATTTCTCTCTTATGTTATTTTATATGTATATTTCGCAAAGCAATTCTCTCTCAGTATCAAAATAACAGAAAAATTGTAAACTTTTGAAAAATAATTAAAGACAAGCTAAAAGACAATCTCTGTTATAAAATTTTCTTTGTAAAAATAGTAGGTTTAAGAAAAAAGAATTAAATGATAAACAACTTGTAAACTTTTTTTTATATTTTAAACTGAAAATTATGGGAAAATAAACATTTAAAGGTTCGTTTTTAAATAAAAGGTATTTATTTAAAAAAAAGAAATGGTAAAATTTATAATCACTAAAAAAACTCAATGTACCCCCCAAGTAAAAGACATGAATATCTTTGAGGCTGAATATCATGCAAATTTTAACAATTTAGCTTGACAACATAATAAAAAAAAATCTTACTAAAATTAAGGAATAAAGTTGAAAATTAAAGTTAAATAATTATCAGTCACTAAATAAATTAGAAATGGACTTTTCATTAAAACAGACGGTTAAAAGAACAACCTTATCCTGAAAAAATAAAATGAAAAGGCAGTTTTTTAAGGCATAGCAGCTTATTTTTACAAAATGGGCAACAAGGAAGGCGCATTTATAAAATGAAAGGGCAGGCAGGATAGATCGCCCTTCTATTTTTAGGACGAACACTGTAGAAAAATATTTATATGTATATAAGTAGCCGGGATTAAATGCAGTGCCATATACAGTTTCTACTAACATTATGCTTCTTAATTGTTAAATATTTTTTCATTAATAGATTATATCTAACCAACATGTATTAAAAGAATTTCTAAATAAGATATTATTCAAAACACAAAATATTGTCCTTTCTGTTATTCACGAAATATTCATCACGTAACTGTTCATTAATGAAATCTGTTATGCTTTCAGTTTGAAGGAAGAAAATATTGCAAGCATGATTTTCATGTTTTATTTGCACCTTGTTGCGGAAAATGTAAACAGTTTGTGTTTGGAAGAGTAATCAAAGCTATGAATAACAGTTGGCACCCAGAATGCTTCACCTGCGAAATCTGTAACATGATTCTAGCAGACCAAGGTTTCATTAAAAATGCTGGCAGGTCTGTATTCATCAATTTTTATGTATGTTAGATTGTGCAAAAATATTTATTTTTGTTATCAGGAATTTTTTTCCATCAGTATTAAAACGAATAAAGTTCCATTAACACTAAACATACTATAACCGGTCAAATGACCATTTAAGAACTTTTGCATCGAAAATATGTGCTTATCATCCTATCGTTTTTGCACATTTGACTTTCTCTAACAGTTAGGTACAGTTAATATTCTATTTTTTTTCGTATTTTGTCTGTTTCGAATAATACTTGATGATACCTATTTCTACCACAACTGGTTATTTGACCCGGAGAACAACTTATTTCTTTATGAGGTTATCGGACCAGAAATGACTTATGTCATGCATGTTCAACGTATTGCATTCAATGAGTTGCACATTTCTGTATAGACTGTTGCGTAGTGAGTTGAATCAGAATAACTGTGAATTCAAATTTCAAGAAAGTACCTAGCATTTTAGATTGGCATTTTTGTGTAATCAAATGTGACAAAAAATAAATATTTTGGTAAGTAGCTTATAGTTTATTTTGATAGCTTTACTTCATTTCTAATTAACTGTTGGTTTTTACCCCAAAAAATGTCGAAACAATCAAGAGAGCAGAAGTTCTTAGAAGAAATAATATTAATTATAAGAATAATTATAATCTACATTATATAAAACGCTAATACGTACATATGTATCAATAAAACCGATGATATTTCTTTTCTCGCGCTGGCAACAGTTTTAATTTTTAATTGATTGGATTCGGCGCGCAAGAACACGCAGTGAGCATCATATGGATAATCCATGTTATATAAAACGCTAATACGTTTTAATTGATAGGCTTCGGCGCGCAAGAGCACGTAGTGAGTATCATCTGTCTAATCGGGTGAATTCTCACCGAAATATCAAAAGCATTCTCACAAAATTATCTTCATCGAAGCCGATGCTTTACATCCGGCGTTCAGTACTATTTCATATTGTTTTACAACACATGGTTTTAGCCCTCTGGTGGGAAAGACTTTAAAACAAAACTTATAACAGTTACTTTTCTCAACAACTGAAATTTAGAATAGTGTGATTAAGAAAAATATGCGAACTGTTTTCAATTTCAAATTAATATTGAAATGTACAGGTTTAGAATTTTCTACAGTGAAAAGTTTTCGGAACTTCAGTGTTCAAAAAAGTATACAAAAGCTAGACGTTAAGAACGTATCCAATGAGCGAGCATAGGATTGCGAAGCAATCCGAAATGAACTGCGAAAGCAGTTCCGGAGGTTGGCGAGCGCCAGTGAGCAGGGGGCGAAGTCTCCTAGTTCTTATATATTCTTATAATAATAAGAATTATAAAAATAATAATAATTGGAAGAAATATGTTTGCTAAAAATGTATAATGGAAACACCCTGCATATGTAAAAAATGCTTTAATCGATGAATTAAAAATTCCTATTCTTTGTGTTTGTAAGACATAAAAATTTGCAGTATACAAATTTGTTTAATTATAATTTTTTTTAAGTTTATTTCCTTCCTAACATCCATGTTTCATACATTCAATCAAGAAACATAAAGTCCGGTCATTTGACCGGCTATGGTAGAAATAGGTATATATTAAGTGTTGGTATGTTTAGTGTTAAGTTCCATTTAGTAAAAATTTCATTAGTATTTCAAATTGAATAAAAATATCCACATTCAACAAAGAAGAGGTATGTTTCTCTGATAACCACTCATAACATTTATTTTCTTCCTTTTTCGTTTTTATGTTAATGTAAACCATATTTTAACTCATTCATTTTCAGTTTATGCATGCATCAAAATCAAATTAAGAACTCTACTAGATTTTGCTACAGACCTGTGAATTCAACTATTTGACATAAAAACTAATTTTAAGACTTATATTGATGAAACGATATAATGAAAAAAATTTCTTTCTTCACTCATTCACTAAATATTTTCAAAATAATTAAAAAAATTTAGATCATTACATATTTTTAAAATAATTAATAGTCTTTCATAAATTAATCTATTCACAATTGCTGATGAAATTTATTCATTAAGTCTTGGGGTTCCACCAAAAAAAGCTGGATCATTTGGGGTTTCACTGTCAAAAAAAAAAAAAATAATAATAAATTGGGAACTCCTTTCTAAATTTCTGTACATAGTGAATAATATATTGTTTCTTGTTATGTGTTCCTTATTAGTAATTGTCATTCACTATTTTGCACTAAAGTCCGAATATGAAACATACTTTTTATTGTTAATATATTTATACTTAATAAGAATAAATAAAATAATAGATACCCAACATTATTGATGACAAATTGAAATAGTTTACTCTAAATTATGATTGTCAAATGCGGCATTGAATTCTAAAAATGTTATTTTCTCCATGATAATGCAATTAAGTTTATATTTTCTAGACTTATCCTCTACTAAGTACAGCTTGTCCAAACCTTTAAAAGCCTTTTATAAACAATATACACTGTTCATTAGGGAAGCTTTCAAAAAATAAAAAATTCCTTTACTGGATTTATTAATTTGAAAATCTAAATAATCTTTGTGACCACATAAAAATGCTTTGTAATGGGTTATTATTAATATTCATTATTAAATTGTAAAGGTATTTCAATTGTAGCATAGGTATTCATATAGATATGATAAAGAATATGAATTCAGAAGGATTTAAATTATTTCTGATGTGCTAATTTGTTATTAAAAGTATTGTTTGTTGTTCTGATTCTTTGTTGATTCTAAAGTGCATGGATGTAAGTGCAATGCCCAGTATATTATTAAATGATCGCCCAAACTAAAAAATCACCATTTTGCCACCTGAACCTAAAAATTAGGTTAAAAACCTGTAAGCATTAGGGTCACAAATGAAATATTTAAGTGAAAAAGTAAAAAAAAAGAAAAGAAAAAGGAATTCAAATTCTAATCAATCATTATTGAGATAAATGGGAGCAAAAGAAACATCAAAATCATCTAAAGCCAAGATTCAGTTACGCGATTTCTCAATTAATTCTGAAAAAACAAAAATAAAAATAACATATTCAACAGAAATTAGAATTTTTAATACCAATGTTAAATATGTCCTATATGGTACTGCAATAAAAATAACATGAAAAAACTTCAAGTATTTGTTAACAACTGTTTAAGAAGAATCTTGAGTATTAAGTGGTTCTTTAAAATTTGTAATGCATTAGAAAAGCAAAATAGAAACTGATCTGGAAATTAAAAATCATAAATGGAAATGGATTTGTCATGCTCTACGTGAACCTGAAAAATTTAAAGGAAAAATTTTTTTTTATTGGAACCCTCAGGGCAATAGAAAAAGAGGAAGACCAAAAATTACTTGGTGCAGGATGAGTGTAATCGAATTGAAAACAATAGGAAAGACATGTAAAAAGGCGAAATATCTGGCCACAAGTTGAATGAGATGGAAAGCTATGATAGAAGCCCTATGCCCCTATTTGGAGTAAAAATGTAGATGTATGTGTAAAGCCGGGATGAGGTTAAAAGGCAGATGCATTTCTGTCTCACTGAAGAGTTATTGATTATTTTAATCCCTCCTTTGCTTTTCTGGATCTCAGTAATTATAAGTTCAATTTTTTTTTTTTTTTTACCCAAATGAATATCAACTTTTGATCTCTAATCTACGTAACTTTTGACCTTATTTATTACCATTATTTTTGTTCAACTTCCTCTCATTATAAAATTCATAAGTTTGAATCCCTCAGAATTATCTGCTTTCTTTTGGTAATGGCGCTTATCACAACCTTAAAGTACCCCATTGACTTTTTTTTCCATCAGATGTAATTTGTTTCACCATTTGATTTTGTTATCTTGAATACCTACTATAGTTTTGTAGACAGTTGTTTGATTTGTTATATGCTTGTATTTATTTTAATTAGGGCTCTTTGCCACGAGTGTAACGCCAGAGAAAAAGCTGCCCAAAGTGGAAAATATATTTGCTTTAAATGCCAGTAAGTCTATCGATTTATTTAAAGTGTTTCATTTTTTTACACGCACTGAATGATTTTTTTAACAATTTTTTTAATCAAAATTTAAAATTAAACTATAAATTATAATATTTTGTTTTACCTTATTAGTATAAAAAAAATTTTCAAACTATTTTTTATGTTCAGTTTCAAACTATCAACTAGATGTTGGTTAAATTTTTTTTTTTAACTTTAAATTTTTTGTATCATTTTATTTAGATTTGAAAATTAACAATATTTTCATTTTTTTAATAATAATTAAAACTTAGCTTATTTATTATAACCACACATTTTTATATTGTGAAAAGCTTCCATTTCCGTATTGTGATTCACTATGAATGTGAAAATGTAGAATTTAGGAAACATCTTGAATGCCTCATATAATAGTAAATATGAGACATCTATAAAAAGTTGTGTAAAGAGTTATCTCACTTCATCTTTAGGGAAATGACCACACTAACGAGGTGTGAGATCAAACTTGTTAGTGTGCTTATGTTCTTAATTTTGTAAACCATATTAGTATGTTAAAAAGTAGGCATTAATCAGTATTACATTGAGTTTTGAGTTGCATTGAAACAATTATTAACAATTATTTTTCTAATTTAAATAACATATTCTTTCCTGATAGTTCTGTCATTGATGAAGGAGTTTTAAAATTCAAAGGAGAGCCTTATCACCCCTATCATTTCAACTGTTATTCTTGTGGGTAAGTCTGTTTTTTATTTATTCTGAAACAAAAAGTAATAAGATGTAGTAATAATTTATGAGGCAGTTTTTTTACTATCGTTTTTAATACTAAATTAAAAAGTTTGCATAATTCTAATATCTTTAAATATGTGTTTAAAAGGGAAACTCATAATCATTTGACTTCAACCTGCTCTACTTTTATGTTACTCTTTATTACACATATTTTCATTCACACTCGTGGATCTTGCACACGGATGTTTGTACTCCGGTTGTACCACAGAATTCTGGATTTTTCATTTCATTCTTTTGGGTCTAAAAACTAAAAGCAGGGCATGTGATTTTTCTGCCACTCAAAAACTTATAATCCGACGATATGTTGAAACTTTTGCTACATCCCGTTAACGAGACGTTTACATACACGTGATTCTTCCTCCAGTTTGATTCTTTTGGTTTGGTGGACTTTTGTCATTTTGAATGTTTGGAACTGCACTGGAAACTGCTAATATCGCGATTCGTATTCGCCCGATTTTAATATTAAACATTGATTTCTGTATTTACCGGATTTAAAAGTTACGCGTTGCGATTCATATTTACGCTATTTAAAAATTGTACATCGCAATTCCTATTCATGTAAATAATATTCCTTACAACTAACTGTAAGTATTTCATGATTAACTGTATGAAATGTGTTATTTTCCATATTTTTAACTTCAATTTTCCTTTACTGTATTTTATGGCTATCTCACCTCGTCATAAACAAGAGATTGTCTTCTGTTAATTTTATTTTAAAAAAAATTTTTGTATTTTGTTCTCAATATTCTGTTTTTTTTTTCCTTCCGCAAGGTATGTATATGTACATGTACAAAGTATATACTCGCACATGTACGAGAATTTAAAATATGCATAAACCATAGCTGCCAACTCTATTAGATTTTCCAGTAGACTACTGGATTTTGCCAGTTTCTACTGGTTTGATTAAAATTCTCCGGGTTTTTGTAAATTTTAGAAAATTCCCTAAAGTTGAGTAAGTTACCTAAAAAAATTCTTATTGAAATAAATATTTTTATAGAATATTGCTTGCTTGAATATAAAACATTATGAAGTAAACCTCATTTATCGAAATCAGTTCAAAACTTTTTTTGTTATAGAAATGTTCAGTTTATTTTTATTCAGAACTCTCTTTTAAATTAATTAAAAAAATCCCTTAACTATCTTTGATGAATTAAATGCCTTTTAATATTTGAAATTAAGACATAAATGCGTAATATTTCAAATATGTTTAATGTCAATTATAACTGAAAAATATTGCAGTTTTTTTATTTTGATGACTATTAAATGAAATCCCCTATGTGTTAAATATTTTGTGCATTATGCAACAATTATCATGAAATTTATATTATTTCATAATATCTACTGGATTTTTTCCTATCAGTGTTGGCAGCTATGCATAAACATTTCTTGTATCTCTATTCTTAGTACTTTTATTTTGATTTGAAAACTATGGCCATTTATTCTAAACTTACCCTATAAAACAGACAGAAGAAAAGTTAGCAATTTTATAGCACCCCAAAATATCTTTCTAAATCTATACTAGTGTTGAATTTTAATGAGCTTTAAAATATATTTTATTACAATATGCATACTAACTATTAAAAAAAGTCTTATACATAATTTCTGAAACAATTACAAATGGTTATATTATCAGAGATGATTGTGCTCCGGAAAAAATCTGGATTTCAGGATTTTTCTCTAACCACCATCCGGAAATCAAAGGTTCAGAAGTTTCAAGAAATCATCGATCACGTTTATGTATACAAATTCTTGTATATTTTATTTAAAAATATTAGAACTAGAATTTATATTTGGCATCTGTTTCATTTGTAAATATTTTTTGGTAGGATAATAAATGTGATTATAATTATTCATTTAAATTGTGTTGTATATAATTTATTTACAATTTCATGTTTTGAAAATATCAGGGTTGCTACAGGCTACTAAAATGCGACTATTTGCTACTATTTTCGACCTTAGGGGACTATGGCGACTTTTTTTTGCCTGAAAAGGCTAAAAAAACAGCTATTTTCAGGAATAGGCGACTATTGGGAGACTTTTTTACTCTTAGCGAAGTTTCTTTTATACTTATTCTTATTTTTCATAGACCTGCTGTTAGTTTGCGATTGCTGCATAATCGCTGCTATCTTAAACTTTCGTTCCGAACTCAATAGATCAATGAAAAGAAAATATAAATTAAAAAAGTTTCTTCATTGGTTTTTTTCAATTATAATTTTTTACTTAAAGTGATACAATTTAACAGGGGTATTTTGTATTTAATTTTGTCATGAAAAGTTAGTTTTTTTCAAATTTATTTAATGTAGCTAAGTATAATAATTTGATTATTTTAAAACCAATAAATGTTCAGTTGATTTTATTTATAAAAAAATTAAAATAATGCTTACCTTTATTCAATTTCCTTTTATTTTTGAGAAATTGAAAACAAAGTTTTAAAAAAATTTGGCTATTAGTTAAAAAACAATTTTTTTAAAAAATTAAATAAAGAGTTTAGTAATGTTTGGACGCTTTTTAATAATTTAACATTAGTACTTAAAGCATTTTTTTAAAAATTTTATTAAAATTTTTTCAATACTTGTTTGTTTTATAATTTGTTAGATAGTCAGTGTCATTTTTAAAGAAATAAATCTTTAGTCAATTTTATTTTCAAAAACGAAAATAATAATAAATAAGTAAAAATATTTTTAAATTTATTCAGTACATAATTTGACCATTAGTTAATACTACTTTATATTATGTTAAATAATTGAATAAAATAGGGTCTAATAATGTTTCAAAAGCATGTTTTTTTTTCCAACAAATAATTTAAAAAAAATTTTTTTTTTCTAAAGTGAACATTTCTTTGGTTTGTTTTCTACTTTCGTTTTTTTTCTTTTAATTTTAATGCACGTATGTAAAATATTTTGTTACAGTATTATTATTTTTAAACCAATAAATCTTAATTCATTTTTAATTTAAGAAAAATGAAATAAATCTTGGGTTTGCTTTTACTTTGACTTCTTTATTATTTTAATTTAAAAAAAATTAAGCAATGATATTGATATTATAGTAGAATATGTACATTGATTTCCCATAGGTAATTTCTGAACGTATGCTAAATCGCAATGTCTAACGGACGATGTATCACTATTTAAAATTTATGACATTAACCAGTCCTTATCATAGTATTTGACAATTAAGCTACAATTTTAATTATTTGGCTACTATTTTTGATAAATTTTTGCTACTGTTCAGGCAACTATTTTTATAGTTTTAGGCAATTATTTTCATGCTTGAGGATACTAAAAGCAACTATTTTTGTTCATTTTTTACTGTGGCAACCCTGAAATATCAATAATTTAAATTTATATAGACATTAATTTTTTGAAATGGGTCATTAATGATTTTTGAGTTAGGCTCACAATCACCCTTGTATTATATCATTGATATCAGTCCCCATAACATTTATATAATCTAAAAAGAAATATTTTTCTTTCTAAATTACAGAATTGAGTTAAATGCAGATGCGAGAGAAGTGAAGGGAGACTTGTATTGCTTACGTTGTCATGACAAAATGGGTATTCCAATTTGTGGGGCGTGTCGTCGTCCAATTGAAGAGCGTGTGGTTACTGCTCTAGGGAAAAATTGGCATGTTGAGGTACATGGTTTTCATCCTTCTTCATTTATATGTGTAAACAATTTTGTGTAAACCTTTTAATGCTTATTTTCTTTTTTTAATTTCAGCATTTTGTGTGTGCCAAGTGTGAAAAACCATTCTTGGGTCACAGGCATTATGAGAAAAAAGGTCTTGCTTATTGTGAAATACATTATCATCAGTTGTTTGGAAATTTGTGTTTTGTTTGCAACAATGTCATTGGAGGAGATGGTAAGATTTACTGCAAAGAATATGTTTGATTTATACTGAGTGTATTTAACTTAACTTGCATTTAACAAGCAGTTTTAAAAGTTTTCATTTGTAGTTTGCACTGTTCTTTATATTACTTTAGTATAAATCAAATATTTACAATTAAACATTTACTTTGATTTAGAATTGTAAAATTCCCAGATAAATGTAATTTGGTAGCTCCCACGCTTGACTCAGCCTTTCATCCCTTCAGTGGGTCGATAAAATGAGTACCAAGCATGTTTGGGAACTAAACACTGGGGGTTCCGCGTTCAGCTGACCACCTAACCGGATCATCTGCTCTTGCACCCCAGAGCTTAAAGTCAAGAAAACTGAGATGGGCTCAGTAGGCCTTGGCCCTCTATGGACTGTCGTGCCTTTGAGTTTAGTTAGTAAATCTATTGCTGGATTTGAAATCGTAGGTGGTCCATTGGTCCTCGACAACTAAAAGACTTGAACCACCATAAAAATAATGAAGAACCTGCATGCTTTTTTTTATGTTTTAAAATGAAACATCATGCCATTTTTTAAAGAAAGACACCAATTTCAGACCAGCGCGATAACTAGTTATTTTGTTACTAATAGTTAAAATCGCTCGATAAGCCCTGCCCCCTAAATCGCTGCTAGGTTTCCCATCCGCTCTGATGATGTCAAAGTATAGTACAACCACGACTCCCGTCCTGTTGTGAAACGGTGAAAGCATATGCCGCGCCGAGTATAAATTCTGAAAAATGGCTCCAAGCAAAAACTACTAGTGTTGCAACGTACCATGTGCAATAGTTCTTCTTTAAACACGCCAAATAAATTATTTTTTAGTGTACCAAAATTAGGAAAAAGGCAAATTTGGTGCAAAGCCATCAAACGCGATGAAAAAAATACTCGCAAATTGTCTGCAACTACTGCATTATACCATCTAGTTGTAGGAGGTGATGATTATACTGTTGTTAAGACCATTTTATAATAACTTACTTAATTATAATTTAATTCTATAAGATTGTTTTTCTGCTTGATAAGCTTCTCTGAATGAATAATTCATTATACTGAATTAAAATGTTTATGAAATGCTGTTCAGATCACTTTCTTTTTTTTTTTTTTTATTCTTTAAAATGAAAGGATTTTATTCTTAAAGAACAGTGATGTACAGGTTATTTTTTTTAAAGTTAAAAAATAATTTTATCTAGAAGAAAAAATTATTAAAGTTAAAATAAAAAATGATAGGAGTTTAGCATTATTTACATTTCTTCAAAAAAAAAAAATATTCAAGAAAATATCTTAGAAGTTAATAAAAAGAATTTTTAAAAAAAATTTACCTAAATTCCAGGTCATATACCATTCATTCCATTCTCTCTAAGTGGGATCGACTCATTAAATAAAAAACTTTCAAAACAGTTCAGACTTTTAGATATAGACAAATTTAAAAAAAAATAAATCAGTATAAATAAAGAAAAATGAATTTATTTCAAAAGTTGTTGAAAAAAAAGTAGTTTCGACATTTATTTTTTCATTCCTCAATTTTATTTCATTATGCTGAAAGGTGCCCACAAAAATTTTCTCAAGGGGGAGGATGCAACTGATATACACTACATATATATTTAAACTATATATATATATATATGATATAAAATTGAAAGAAAAACAATTTTTAAAAAATGCAGTTGAAATTAAAACGCTTTTGTAACACATTTCTAGATAGGAAGCTTTGGTTTAATTCCTCCCGTTCGCTGAGTTACTATACTTTGACGTCATAAGCAAACCACGCATCATTTTGAGTCACATGAAGTTAGTTTCGTTTTGGGCTAATTTTAAGTTAAGTTTTTTTCAATATTCAGGTCAATTTTTTAAATTCTGAATTGATTTTAGAGAGTTTTAAGATATAAACTATTTAAAATAATCAACCTTCTGCGATTACCCAACGCATGCAGGTTCCTCATTGCTCATACCGGCACTTGATGTAAAGGGGTTTATGTATCGTTTAGATTTTAGGTTTCATGTTTTGATCTGTGTTTTTGCCATGAAATAGTATATTGAATCATCATTCATAACTGTGAAATCATACATTCTCTGTAATGTGATTTTTCATTTAAATTTGCTTTGTTTCCTTTTTAAAAAATCTAACGGAGACAGGTTTACCAGGGTTTGGACAAAATAATGGATTCTCTTATATATCTTTCTGAAAATCCAGTTATTTAGAGCATGGGGATGGAGGAAGGTGTGTTGAATTATTAGAGGCAAAGTTTTTAAGCAATTTTTTTACGCTATAAAAATTTATTATTATTTTTTTTAAATAATGTGTACAGTAACTCGATAGTTTTCTTACGGCAGGTAATGGCAGTCTATTTGTTATGATCAAAATAAATACGTTTAATGAAAAAATACAACAAGGAAACCTATGCTTAAAAAGAATAATTTATACTTAATTAGTGTGGTGTCTGGGGTAGAATTGCACCAACGTATTCCTGGCGTGTCGTAAAAGGCGACTAAATGGGTTGAGTGCAAGGCCAATCCCCTTGCCTCATAAAAAAAATCTACCAATTCAGAAAACTCAAAGAAAAAATTCCAGAACGGCACTTCGTAGACGACCTGGTACGAAATCGGACATGATTTTTGGAACATGGAATGTTAGAACATTATATAGAGGAGGTGCAGTGAAAAAACTAACTGATGTTTTCTTGGAGTACAAATTAGATGTACTGGCTGTTCAGGAAATGAGGTGGACGGGAAGTGGAGTAATGGACAAGCGAAATTGCAGTATCTACTATAGCTGCCACGACAGATTACACTAATTTGGAACTGGTTTCATCGTCAACAAAAGAATCAGAGACAAAGTGATTGAATTTAAGTCAGTGAATGAAAGAATTTGCAGAATACGAATCAAAGGAAGAACGCATAATATCTCAATTATTTGTGCCCATGCCCCCACGGAGGACAAGGCGGATGAAGTTAGGGATGGATTCTATGCCCTTCTTGAAAAGACACAAAGTGAATGCTGTTCAAATGATGTGAAACTGCTCATGGGCGACTTCAACGCGAAGATTGGCCATGATACAAACATGAACAGATTTGCTAGAAATGAAAGCCTGCATGAAGAGACAAGCAAAAATGGCGTCTGACTTATTAACTTTGCCATTTCTACAAACATGGTAATAGGAAGTACAGCTTTTAAACATAAAAACATACATAAAGCCACCTGGAAATCCCCAGATGGATTAACCCAAAATCAAATAGATCACATACTTATTGATTTAAGACATAGAAGCAGTGTTCAAGACGTTCGGACATACCGCGGTGCAAATGTGGCTACACTAGGAGTGCAGAAGAAACATATAAAGAACTTCGAAGAGAAGAAAAAAGAATTCATAAGATGAAGAAACGAGAATATATGAAGAGGTATATAAAGACATTGAAAACTTAAGAACTCAAAAGGAAGCAAGAAAATTTTACCAACTGATAAACAATGTCAGAGCAGACTTCAACCCCAGAACAATAACCTGTAAGAAGAAAAACGGAGAACTTACTCAAGACCCGGATGAAGTTCTAGCCCGTTGGCGTGAGCACTTCGTAGATTTACTAATGGGGAGAGATAGAGAAGAAGATCTAAACACTTGTAACATGCTGCCAACCATGAGTACTGAAGGTGAAGCCATAGAACATAATACACCTACTCCTAACGACGTGGAAATAGCGTTGAGGAGGCTAAACAATAATAAATCAGCGGGACCTGATGGCTTAAAAGCAGAACTCTTTAAAATTGACGAAACGAAGCTAAACAAAGCTATATATAGCTTGATTTGTTGTAAATGAACCAAGGAACAAATGCCCACTGAGTGGGATGAAGGATCTATTTGCCCTATATACAAGAAAAGTGATAAACTCGAATGTGGAAACTACAGTTGAATTACCCTTCTAAATATTGCGTACAAGATCTTCTCCATTATTTTATGCAAGCGATTGGAGACCTACACCTCGGGAATCATTGGAAATTACCAATGCGGATTCCAGAAAGGAAAAACAACGACTGACCAATTGCATACTATCAGGCAGATCTTGGAGAAAACCAAAGAGTATAACATTGACACATACCACTTATTTATTGACTTTAAAGCTGCCTACGACAGCATCAACCGAGGAAAACTACTTGAGGCTATGTTGGAGTTTAACATCCCAAAGAAGCTAATCAGCCTCACAAGAATGACACTCAAAAGAGTTTCGTGCAGAATAAAAATCTCGTCAAGTCTCTCTGAACCATTTTTCACCGAAAAAGGCCTCAGACAGGGTGATTCCCTTTCTTGCCTGCTATTTAACATAGCTTTGGAAAAGGCCATTAGAGACTCTGGTATCAACACAAATGGAACAATCTTACAAAGAACTGTCCAACTACTCGCTTTTGCTGATGATATCGACATAGTTGGAAGAACAAAACGCTCAGTCATTGACGCTTTTGTAGCGCTTGAGAGTGCGGCGAAGGAGATGGGACTAGTTATAAATGCAGACAAAACCAAGTTTTTGATCGCAACAAATAAAACTCCTGATCGATCTCCTCTGGAGATAATGACTTACTCTTTTGAAACTGTTAACCAGTTCAAGTACTTAGGAACCTTGATCTCTAGCCACAACAACCTGAAAATCGAAATAAATAACAGAATTTTCATGGCTAACAGAAGTTTCTACGGCCTCAGAAACCAACTGAAATCCAAGTTCATCAGTGTGAAGACAAAGTTAAACATCTACAAAACTTTAATCAGGCCTATAGTTACATATGGAAGTGTGTGCTGGGCCCTAAACAAAACAGAGGAGGAGAAACTGCTAATTTTTGAAAGAAAGATTTTGGGGAAAATCTTTGGATCTCTTCAAGAGAATAACGTAAGGAGAATTCTTTACAACCACGAAATTTACAAAAAATATGACAAATTCGGTGGGACCGACATTGTGAGAACTATGAAAGCATCACGCATTAGGTGGCTGGGCCACCTCTTCAGAAATTCTGATGCCGTCCCTGCCAAAAAAGTGACTTTTTCCACAATTGAAGGGACGAGACTTAGGGGACGACCACCAACAAGATGGATAGACGACGTTGAAAAGGACCTCAAGCTATTGGAAGTCAACCGATGGCGGGCCGTCGCACCGGGCAGGGCCAGATGGAGGAAAATCTGCGAGTCAGCCTTGGCCTGTGAAAGGCTGTTGCGCTTATGAAAAAGAAGAAGATAATTAAAAAAACATCCAAAATAATTTTTAACACTAAAAAGTAGTATCAACGAAACTGTCAAGTGACTATGTTAGTGGGATGATTGTACTTAATGTTTCAGAACCAATTTCTTAACGTTCGGTTCAATACTTTTAGTGAGATGAAGACGCAAATCCCCTCGTTGCACAATTTAGAGTCGATTTCTCCTTTTTGTGATAAGATCTGTAACAGCACTGAATCCACGTTCAACAAGTTAGGAGGAAGGAAAGGCAATTAAAAAAAAATTAACGATAGTCTACAGTCCAGGATAGAGACTACTTATGCTACCTTTAAGCAAAAATTCTGTGAGACGATCACCATTTCAAAGTTTCATTAGTTAAAAGACAGTTTCCTCGTAAATCTGAACCTCAGCTGTTTCAATATTCACAAAAAGGTTTCCTAACAAATAAAAACATTGAGGGACTTCCGAGGAGCAAAACATCTTTAAAACGATCAGAAAAGTCCATGTGCAAAGAGTCAAGGTGTTGACAATATTCTTGTGTATCATCAGAGTGAATTCTGCCTACTTGGCTGAACTCATTCGAACCAAAATTCTGCTTCCACAAAATAAGTTTTTTTTAGAAAGGCAGAAATAACGGATTTTATAAGGATCAAATTGAACTCTTCGCCTTGAAGTTGTAAATTAACGCCACTAAATTTTACACATAAATCAGCCAAAGTCTTTCTTAAATTCTAGCAATCTGTCTCTCAGAGCTACGTCTCTATTTTCGAAGAACTCAAGCACAGAGACTTAAAGATTCCAATACCTACTGAGACAGAAGCTTTTGGAAACCCGGAAAATCTCGGTGTATAGTAGCAAGCGATTGAATTCTTCATTGTTTTCCAAACACAGTTGTCTGAATAATCAACAGTAGAGAGTATTACTGTGAGTTTTGTTCACAGTAGATATGGCACATTGCAATTATTGATGCAAACGGTCCTACTATTCCTACTAAATGCTGTCTGTGAATCACGCAGTGAACAGCTAAAATATCTGGTACCTCATTTTCCAAAAGGGGGATTAACCTACGATGTCGACCTACCATTGCAGGAGCATATCAGTGGCAATCGACATAATATTTGCAAGAGGAATGTTTTTCTCTTTGAAATAATCTTTGACAGTATTAAAAATCGATTTACCTTTGATGTCTACAATCACGCTTCTTGCAAAAAGTATTTCTTGAATAATTTTCCTACCTTTACAAACCGAACCTACACCTACAGTAAAGCCTACATTACCTGGCAAGGTTGATTCATCAACTTGAAGGAAAAATTCGTTGGAAAGTTTGCATAAAGAAATTTCAACGTCTTCAGCCATCTCATAATTTTGTCACCGCACTGTATCGTTGCTTATGGGATATTTTTTTATTACATTCGATGCGGCTGGATGGTGTAAAACTGTTTCTAAAACTTCCTTGACAACCAGCAGTATCAACTCTGCTCTGATGGTATGAGATTTCCCAGATTTAGCAATAAATTTTGATATATTATAAAAAGCTATCAATCCATCGTCACATTTTTGTGATGAGATTGCTAGCAACCCTGAGACCAAAGGTGCCTTCAGAAATGTGAAAACAGATGTTCATGAAAAATGACAAATCTTTATTTTGTTTGTAAGGATGATTTTTTTGCAAATGCTCCTGATAACGATAAGATTTTATTACCTCATTAGATAAAACTTTATTACAAAGTAAACACATGGGTAGTTGAGAGTTCAACAGTGATTGAACAAATCCCAACTTCAAGTACTGAATTGATGACACTTCTTGTTAACCGACATTGTTGATGGCAGCAAAATACAAATGATGAAAGAAAATCTGTTGTGGCTTACTCTGTAGCATATAAGTATGTTTTGTTAGTGTTGTGGGTTCTGGCAACATTGGTTTCGATGACAACAAAAAGATGGAATGCAGGAGATGCAGAAAAGCGATTAATAGAAAATCTGTTGCAAAAAAAATCACGTCCGGGTCACCAATGAGGGGATTCAAAAATCAACTATGTCAACTTGCATCTATCAAAAGGTACCTCTGGTTAGTTAACATGTCTTATATACTAGTGAATTGGTATTTATAGTGGTGGTAGAAATCAACTATTTCTCAAAATTAATAAATAATTTATGATAAAGAACTAATTCGAATAAACTAAGATCTAATCGAGACTGGGGAAAAAATCGTAAGGAAGCAAACGAAGACCATCATAAGAAACACGGGTCAAATCAAACATTCATACTAAAAATGCATGCATTTCAATTCCCACCAAATGGCTTGAATGAATCTCAGTCAAAAACTACTGACTCATGCTCTGAGCTGTGCTGGTTCGGATCGGAGAATAGGTGTCGTATAAGTATGTCGTATAACAGGGTTTCTTAACCTGTGGTTCATGAACCCCTAAGGGGTCCATGAGTTATATTTTGGGGGTCCGCTGACTACTCCTAATTTTTAAAACGTTTGGAAGCCTACCCATTGCGCTTGTAAATCGAACTATGGCAGCTATAATTCCGTTTGCTACAGTGTATCTTTTCGAAGCGGAATTTTCCACTCTTGTGACAATAAAAATATAACATCGAAATCGATTGAATGTTGAACATGATATACACGTTGCTTTGTCGAAAACCATCCCCCAATTAAATTTATTAATTAAGGAAAAGCAGCAGCAACCTTCACATTAAAAATTTTGTATACTATTAAAATAATAAAATTAAATGTTTTCTAATAATTGATGTTTTTTGCAATTATTTTTTTTCACAGGGGGGTGGTCTGTAACTTCCTAAAAAAATTTTAAAAGGGGTCCATTATATCAAAAAGGTTAAGAAACACTGTCGTATAAGTATGGTGTATAGGATAATCTTTACTTATTATATTAATTTCATCTTATTTTTCTTTAATATTAATTTTATTTATGAAATAAATCTTAATTTAAAAATTTTATTTGTAAGTTTTAAAATTAAATTTGAAGGACAAAGCATGCTCATCTCCCCTACTGCCCAAAACCTACTCAACGTTAATTATTATTATTTGTAATTTTAAATTTATAGTATTTGAGATTTCAATTTTTATTGCAACTCTTTATTTATAATATTAACTACTAGATAAAGTATTTCAATCTGAATTAAATTACTTGCGATTTGATTCCTGTCAGATAAGGTTTACTAATTTTTTTCTTCACAATGTTGGATTTTCTATATTGTAAGTTCTAGTGTATCTTCTTATTAAAAACATTTATGAGCATTATTCATCTAATTAAGTTTACTTACTTAAAATGCTTTTGTTTATAATTTAAATATTATACTGTTTATTTGTTATTAAATGTTCTTTAATTTTTTAGTTTTTACTGCTTTAAACAAAGCTTGGTGTGTTCATCATTTTGCATGTTATGTGTGTGATCAGAAAATGAGTCAAAAGTATGTTTAACTTTTTTTTTAAACATCTAATCATATATATTTTTCAGGCCACTGAACTTATTATTTTTTTTCAGGACAAAATTTTTTGAGGTGGATTTAAAACCGGTATGCAAAAAATGTTATGACAAATTTCCCGCTGAATTAAGGAAGAGACTGAAAAAAGCCTATGAAGCATCACCTAAGAAAATAATGACATAACATCCAAAGCGAGCTTTTAACTGAATTTGTTAAACAAATAGAGTTCTATTTGAGTTTTTAAATATTGTACGACATCTGCTAATGCTTCACTTGTTAATATGAACTTTATATGACTGTTATACGCTTTTATACATTAACTTTTAGCTTCAACTCTGCTGAAGAACTTTTAAGTTTTACTGCTAACTTAACTGTTTAACTTTCCTAAAAATGACTCTATGACTAAAAACTCCAAGTTTATAATTAACAAAGAAAAATATTAATTAATTTCTGTATGTATTTTCAATTTTGAAAAAAAAAATGTCTTCCACAAACAAGAAAACATTAACCGTATAGTTTTAAAACTTTTTGTTTGGTTCCTCTTAGGTTTTGTATTTTCCTCCAGAAGATTTACCATCTTAAGTCCCACAACTCTGAGGTATTCAAGTAATGGTACCTGCTTTTTTCCTGTTAAACTTACTTTATGCAACTTAGCACAGTATTTAATTTTGAGTGTGTAGTATCATTTAAATTTGGTGCTGTATAGTCAATACCAGCACTTGTGCCATTATCTTTGCATTCAATTATATTGTTTCATTTGTTAGTATCACAATTGGTGAATGAAAAATATTAAGTTTATGTTCTTTATAATACCCATTGTAAATGTGTTTGTTGAACACTCTATATTGTTTTTGAAATGAAAAAAAAAATCACTCTCTAAAGTTGTTAAATCTAAATATCTATAATCCAAATTCTTATTGTGTTGTGGTAGTTCTTAAATGCGTTACTTTTATCAGTGACAAATTTATCATCAGGGGTCTGCCTAGGTTTTTCCGAGAGGTACCTATTTTGTGAAAATTTAGACATAATTTGTGAAAATTAAAAAATCAACACAAAAATATGGATTTATCGTTTCTTACGGGATACAAAAATCAAATTTTAAGAAAAAGTATTTTGTGAAACTAGGGTTTTTCCAAAAGTTGAATTTGTGAAGGTACTGCTAAGTGGTAGTAAATTTGGCCTGGACAGACCCCTGCTAATTCTAAATGAAATTTGCTTAAATTTTTTTTTTAATTTTTCAAAGTTATTTTTAAGTTATGTTTGTAGGTACATAGTCATGGTGACATAATACTCATTTTATTGCTTTTATGATAGTAGAATTGTATTTCCTACTTGAATCTATGTTGTATAATGTTTTATTTTTTATTCAGTCTGCATCCTTTTTATTAGATTCAGTTTCTACATTTTGTGTTTTAATGTGTCTGATTCATTAATGACTCAGGTGTTTGTATCAAACTCTTATTTTGTGCAATTTTAGTTTAGAATTTTCTCAAGAGAGAGAAAGGATATTATACATTGAAATTGTATTTAATATACATGGAAATTTATTTTAACTTCATAATGTGAATAGTGATAGATTGAATTGATTCTGTGTTACTCTCTTTTAAAAATGAATGAAAAGTATTCACCCCTCCAAATTGTTTCCACTTCTTCCCATTCTATGCGGCAGGTCCGATGTTTTCAGTCCAGTTTGCTGATAAAGAAATGTCTGTCCGTGGCTTTCGTGCTTTAGAATATGTGGTCAGACTAGGTTTGTTTAAAAAAAAACTGTACTGGTTTAAAAGAAATTAAAACATTTTCAGTGAACCTGTAACGGATAAGAGTTAAGTTTCTAAATAACAGTTACAGATATATATTTAGATTAACTTAGTTAGCCATTTTACTCTGAATTAAACTTCGAACATATTTTTGCAATTAATCAAAAAATGTCAGCTATTTTTGTAATGGAATTATAGACTTTTAGGCTCAGTGTAGCTAGAATGATAAAGTATATTCCTGTGACAGCCCATGGTGGTTATGGCTCCACAATTTTGTGACAAAGGGCATGATTGTAGCTATGTGGTTGTTAGCGTCATTCCGTCTTTACTTCCCAGACAAGCTATGTAGGTTTCAAGTTGCCACTGAGGATTGTACTCAAGTCCTTCACAATGACAGTTCAGTGCCTTTAACTTCTCTATCGCGACTCCCCAATATATAAATTTAATATAAAAATATTCTTTGTGCATTATAATGTGCTTATGGGTTTCTACAATTGCTTCTCTACATTTTGTTTTTTAATATATCATACTGTGACTGTTTAATTGGCATCTTTTATGCACCCTTTAAGGCATGCAACATCTTATAAGTAAGTATATTGATTGTATGAATAAGTGCCCAAATATAGCATCAATATTTTACTTAAGGCTGTTTTTCGAGGGCTCCGTCTGCTTCTTTGCAAATAATATATAACTTCTGTAAGTTTGCAACTGTTACTCATGACTGTTAAATCAAGTTTACCCTATTTAAAGCCAGCACTATCTACGCTTATTTTAAAAATAGCGCAAAACGTCAATATGTAGAAATGCCTGAGTTTTGTGAAAATGAAAGACGTCTGGTGGTTGAGCAGTAGTACTTGGCACTGTTGTGCCACAGGTCCCTGGTTCGATCATTGGGCCGGGCAAGGTTGACTCAGCCTTTCATCCCTTCAGTGGGTCGATAAAATGAGTACCAAGCATGCTTTGGAGCCAAACACTGCATTGGATTGGCCACTCAACCGGAACACCTGCTTTTGCAGCTCAGAGCCCAAAGGTCAAGAAGACTTAAGATGGGCACTGTAGGCCTTGGCCCTCAATGGACTGTCGCGCCACTGAGATAAGTTTGTGAAAATGAAAAGCATTTGCGGTCTAATTTTTATAAACTTACTCCAATGCTGCATTACTTTGGCTGATATAAATGTGCAAAAACTGAGAATAAGGCAGTAGTTTAGAAAATTTTGACCTCGGTGGGAAAATGTCACCAAATTAGCAATTTTTAAAAGGTTTAATAACTTATAAAATATTTAAGTTATTTGTCTATTCTAAAGCCCATGTAATTCCTCATGGCAAGATATGAATCCAAATTATAATTATTAACTTTATTGGCAAAAATGTAATATTTTTATCAATAGTGTCACAATTTCACTAATACTTTCTTAATGAGTGATTATTGGCTTGTGTTATAGGCCTACATTCAGGGTTTAAGAAATTAATGTTTCACCTATATTAAAACTTTTTTTAAGTTAAAGAAAATATATTTATTTAGAGATTGATCTAATTCTGTATATGAATGCCATTGCAACTCTAAATTTATTATGAATTTAAAATTTTAATAGTTTTGTGCTGTTCTTAATCCACTGAACATACTGCAACTGATGTTTGTTTAACAATTATGGATTTTTTGCCACTGATTATTCATTTTATTCTCTGAATTCAATGTTTTATTGAGTTAGAATTTGTTTATTTTTATTCCACTAGCTAAAGTAGTCAATCAATAGTATATGTTAAAGACAAAGGCCAAGTTATCGAATTTGGTAACAATTTTTATTAAATTATTTCACATACTGAATTCACTTAAGATAACTGTTGAAATTTACTAAACCTTAAAAATCTATTTTAATTGTTAAATCATAGATAATCACGAATCTGATTTAACCATTAGATTCAATTTTATCATAGAACATATTTTTCTACCGCTGTTGACACTATTTTGAAAAATGTATCGATAAGCTAGTGTCCCTCATACATTGATTTAAAATTTCCCTAATAAAAAATATTTTTTCCTTTTTAAAATTAATTGTATAATTGTCCTTGAGAATATAATATTGAAGAAAAAAAATATATGTAAATTAAATGGATATATATATTTGTAGAAATATTTTGCTGAAGTCTTTTAAAAAAAGCATTTTTGAAAAAATTTATTAATTTTTATTATAACTATCACTTAGTCATGATCACGATAGTGTACATAACAACAAAGGGCCTTTTAAACTATCCTGAAAATTTCAGTGAGTAGACTGTATCTTAGTAGCTACTTTCTCCTACATTGCCAACATTGGAGAAATAAAATAACGGAGATTTTACTAGAGACATTTTTTAGGCTTCAAGTAAAATTTTGATACATCATGCACAATCATGTAAGTGAAAAAGAAAAATAATATAAGCATTTACATTTAGCGATGTAAAAAATATGTATATAAATGTTAATCTAAAGAAGATTTTTTAAAACCATTATTTATAATTACTTAAACGATTACACCTCAAAAATTGGGCCCTCATTGGAGATAAAACCAGTTTTTCGATCTTACAATTTTAAANGCAAGGCAAAAGGCCCAGAACAAACAAAAGTGGCTGCTTCCACCTACTCACTACTGGTATAAAGCAAAAAGACCAGGACTCTCTCTATCTCTTCCTGGTGACAGGCAAACCAACACTTGCTTATCCCGACTGGCCAGTGGACACCTGAAAAGTCTCACATTTTCTGCTAATCAAAAGATCTTTCTTCTTTGTCCTAAATGCCAACAAAACCAGGCATCACCCGAACACATCTTGAACTGTTTAGGGCTGGACTGGAACGACATTCATTCTGCTCCCATTCTGGTTTCGGATTTATTGATCTGGTCTGACCCCGTCAGACCAGATGGGAATTAGCAACAACTTAAACTATTAACACTCAACATTCTGCAGTACTGGCAATAGCACCATCTGTGTAGGACTAGAAGAAGTATTTTTGCCATCGGCGGATATTTTATTTTTTTGCTTGATTTTTGGAAAAATATTCAGATTATGATAGAAATCTATGACTATAAAATGTTAATACTGGCAAAATTTAGTTAAACATACTGATTTTAACGAACTTTATTTAAAAATATATAGAGATACAGTTAAAGTATACATTACAACTTTAAAATACATGAATCTTTCCACATCAAAGTTTTGAATGAAAGTTCTGTTTTTTAAAGTCTCTTTCTACACTGATGAACATTTATCATTAAACGATTAGAAAAAGTGACATGTTGTTTATTTAATTTAAGTCTCCATTTTTTTTGTTGACTGACCACATGACAAGTGGCTATTTGCAGGTCTATTTCAACCTATATACTTTTGAGCATTTGCAGTTATATTCGACTTCATGTTTGTCAGTTAATTTTATAAAAAATTTTAAAAACACATTCAAGAATATGAAACACAGTAAGCACAAAAATATCAGATAAAGAAAAATCAAGAGAACCATTATAGCCTTTTTCTATCTAAATGAAGTTCCATTATTCACTTTTTAAAAAAAATACAAATATTTAAAGTGCAATCTTGTAAAGTGTAAGTGAAAAATATCACCTTTGGTATAAATTAAGCTAGAGTTTCAGCCTTCGTTTATATTTACTTTTGTATAGAAAACAGAATTTATTATAATTTAGCATCAAATAGGCCTATAATGATTTAACTTTTTTAAGGAAGGAAAATATTCTTTATTTTTACTCATTGTCTGCTAAAATGTCCATTATTTTTTATCAACGTAATAAATGTGTGTCTTATTTTAAATTTGTAAAAAGTGCACTTTATCATAATTATGTCACATCAATCAAATAACTGGTTATTTGCTATAGAATTTACTAGTTTTAAACGACGTATACAGCACGGAGAAGGCATTTATTGAAATATTTTACATTCAAATGATGTGTTTTCAAAATCTACAATTTATTTTACTTTATTCACTGTTGAAATGTTCAATTACATATTTTCTTTTTCTTGATGACATTGAAGTTATTAACTTGTTATCACTCAAAAATTGTTGAATTGTAGCAAGAATTGATTATCTATAAAAATATGAGATTTATATTTAAAAAAAAAAAATGTTTATAGAGGTTTAAAAATTTTAAGTGCCAAATAAAAACAGTAATCGTGTTATCAATTTTTTTATGAATAATTTTATAATAGTGCTCGAGTTTATATTTTTAGAATTTAATTTTGAAACCAAGATTGGTATTTTTTTTTAACTACCTGTTGTATTTAGAGTTTACAAATTGTGCATTTTTTTGTTTGTAAGTTAATAAAACTTAATAAATTATCTTTGTATTTTTTATTACAACAATGTATAATTATATTTAATGTTCAGTATATTATTTACTAATAGCAGAAGTACAGCTAGAAAAATAATCTGGGTGTTGAAGAATTTTTCAGATTTAATAGGGTCTTTCATCAATTCATTCACATTAACATGAAGAGTAATTATAGTAAGTTATATTATAATGTGTAGCGTTGTACCTCATTTATGCACACTTGAGGATACTGAGGTAGTTATTGATCACTCGAATTTTTTGAAGTAGGTACCTTCGATCGTAGACAAAATAGTACGCGCTTGACACACAAGCATTCCAATTTCTGCCTTGCGCTTTCTAGGTTAAAAGTTTTTAGCCCTATTGCAGAAAGATTTTTCTTTTGGAAAGTAAAAAAAAAATTACTTTTCTACAGAAATTTCTGATTTTCACGTGGTTTTTAAATATCCTGATATATTTCAAACAAAATGGGAATCGTGCATTTGAGTATTTACTTTTTAAGACAATAATTCTATCAAGTTAGTTATTGTTATTGATTTCTCCGTAGTTTTTAAATCCGATATTATTCATTATAACAGCCTAATCTCAAACAAAAGAAGCATTTGAGGAGTCAGATTTGCATAATTTCGTCGTCGATCTTTTTTGCGGCAATTTACTACTACGGCTTGCATGATTTATTATGGTGATGATTATTTACAAAATGCGAAGGAGATAATTTGTACATTCCTCTAACAAAATTCGATAATATCACCCGTATTACTAGAATAAAATATTATATAGTTTATCTTTGTAAACACAGCTCTTTTGTTACTTTAAATGAGTAACATACATGTTTGTTATTATCAAAAGTATCTTGCAGGAAGATATTATTGCTAGAGAGTTTTGCCGCAGATAGCTCGAAAAAATTCAGCCACAGGCGTTTTTAGAGTACACTGAATGATGGCAGGTAAAGAAACTAGGCAAACTGCTAAGGCAGGGATGTGAAACTCAAAAGCTAACTTGGGCCAAATAAACAATGATTAACTTTAGAAACAAATATTATTATTTTGAATTGTAATAAACATATATAAAGTTAAATTATTGTTTACGTCCTGATACTTGACATCTCTTCTCTGCTATTATCTTTTCTATTTCGGAAAAAATTTTATTTGCTGAGACTACTTTCAAAATTGACCCAACGTGAGCATTATTAATACGGTTTCGGACAGGAGATTTATTTCCATTCATAACAGAAAATAATTGCTCTCACTGATAAGTATTTCCAAACTTGGAAATAATTTTATACGCGAATTTTCGAGTATTTTCAAACCTTGCTGGTAAATATTCGTGAAATTTAGTATTGAAATTTAGGCACACCCACTTCAATGAATTTTGCCCTCAAATTTGAGTCGCACTGAATCTCAATCTCTTCCATTTGCATATAACTGGGTACTGAGTCTATATTTATTGAGAAAACAAACAAAATTTGTCTTCCAAAGAATTAAAATCTTTAAACCTTGTTTCAAATTCTGTTCTAAGATTTTAAATTTTTTTCTGCGTACTTTTGATACGATGCAGTATCATATTAACTAGATTTGTTCTTTTTGCACGTTGGGAAGTGCGTTAAATCTTCATTTTTCAGTTGCCTTTCCCAAAGAAACAGTTTACATTTGAATGCTTTTTTAATTATGTCAAACATGCTTGTAGTGATCTGATCCTTGCCTTGTAACAATAAATTCAAATCGGATTAGTGTTTGATTATATCAACCATAAAAGATAAATCTTGCAACCATATTTGATCGGAGAACAAGCTTGTATCTTGATTTATAGTTTGTAAAAACTTGCATATTTTTTCTTTCAAATCCCAGAATGAATTGAGAACCTTGGAGCAAGACAACCAACTTACCTCGCTATAAAAGGATAAACCTGATTATGTACTATCTAATTGATAGCTTAGTGTGAAACGGACTCCATTTCAGCCAATTAGAATTTTACATTTTCGAGCGGACAATTTAAAATGATCTGTATAGTTTATAAATAAAGTATATTATAATTTTATATGCTAGTTTCGTTTCTAATTCACATTTCTATTTTATTTTTACTTTACTTCAGATATATTGACTGGGCTACAAAAATGTTCATCTCGGGCCGCGAGTTTGACACCCCTGTGCTAAGGATTTTTAGTCTCGAACAGACATGCTCATATATATATTGTAGGTGACCAGCAGTCTAGAATAGGATAAAATTAACACCTTTTGATTAACAACTTATACAAGCTTTATATGAAGTTATTGTGAAGGCACAGTGATACACAATTTGCATAACATTGTCTTTACTCAATTTAATTGATCTTTAGTGTATGTATTACTTCATATTCTAGGAAGGGGATTCGATTCGTGAAACTTACATTTTTGATTGCACAGCCTTTACATAATTTTATCCTAAAAGTACAGTATACTCTCGAAAACATTGCTGTGTCAAAAAAATATTTTTTACCTTGGCATTATTTATCCACCTAATTTTAATTTGAATTCCTATGTCAAAGAGTTTCTTCTCAAAACCTTGTATTGTCAAAATTTTTTTCTTCTGAAAAATCACAATGTAAAGCAATTCTTTTCTATCTCACTTTTAAAAATAAAAAAATTATCATTCTTGTATTTAGATTTATAGTTAACTATTATTACATCTGTATTTAATAGTAATTATTCTTATGTTTCATGACTCTATTTTTTAGAATAATGTCTTAGAATATATTTTTCTACTTTTTAGAACATATTTAGTTCTGAACTTGCTATCACAAAAATTTTTTTTAGCGTCCCTTCAACTTTGAGATATCAAGAGTATACTGTATATTATTTTAATAATGGCATAAAATGAGCCTTTTCAATATTCAGCTCAAATTTTAACAACTGTAATTTTCATACACTTCTATACACTAAGCATAATTATTAACCCACAGGCAGATGGGCAAAACCGGGAAACGTTTTTACCCTATCTAACAACATAGGAAAACTGGCATTGCTATGGCAGACTGCAGGTTAAAAATACAACTTTTAACAGGCAGAACCGTCAATGGGTTATGCAGCAAAGTCACGGACAATATAATTCCATAATGAAATAAAAAACAAAAATTTAACAATAAATGATAATTTCAATAATGTGATCCTACAAAATCTATCCTCTATGTTAATATTACAAAAACAGTATTTCTTCAAGCTGCAGCAGCTCTATTGAATATGATTGAAGAATAAAAAATACTTCAATATCATGGTGACATAAATTTGTCAGTGTTTGTATATTTTAAGAAAGCGATAAGTTTTCTGTATCATGGATTTTACTCGATTTTCACAGGTGAGACAAGAAACAATTATTTTCATTTTAACAACATTTTCATGTGGGATTGTACCAATTGTATAAGAATATAAACATCTTCACAAGCTGTGGTATTTTTAAATGCATAAACAGTATTGAACAAAATATCTTCTCATAAAAATGGACCCTTCCCAAAATAATTTATCTTTTAATCGGACCCTTCACAAATTTGTTTATCTTCATTATTGTTTTGTTAATCGAATAAACCCTTCCCAGGGGGGAAAGAAAGATGGTTCGAGACAAACTAAGTTTTCCTTAGTTTAAATTCCAAGTGTAGTATTCTAAGAAAATATTTCTACTTTTACAAACATCGTGTGCACATTCTTACTAATATTAAATCATAATTTTTTTTGTAAATAAATAATTGAGCAAAATATACTTATTCATAAAATTAATAGAATATTTTGTAAATTAAAATTAATTTCTGGCAATTTTTTAAATAAAATATTATAAATTTAAGAACTGTTTAAGTTTACTTCATGCGTAACACATTAAAAGTGATATTACTAAGTTGTGTTATTTAAAATATGTCAATTGAAATTTTTAAAAATGTGAGTGATTTTGTTTCCATTATTCGTCCAAAATGAATGTTCTGTGTTGAGCAGTATAGTCTAAATACCAAATATTTGTATCTTGCATCTCTAATTTAGTAGCAGCAATTGTTGAGCAGAATCTTGTATCTATTTACAATTTAAAAACTTCTTGAAAAGGTTTTTAGCAATAACAGGACCCTGGTTGAAAGAATGCAACTTAATGCCTATTTTATATTCATAAATTATGAATAGTTTTTTCATAATTTTACAAAAACAAGACCTTTTACAAAATGTCTGGACAGACCCCTGGATGTGAAATATTCTGCGGTTGCTGCAGCAAGAAGAAATACTATCCCCCAAAACACACCTGTATGCTAAACATTTAAAAAAAAAAACTTTTTATACGTTTATATACATTTACAATAAATACTACTGATACCAATATCAGCTTTGATCCATGATATCGGTAGAGACATGAGCCGTTACCTCAGGCGTTGCAGGACGACTGCAGATTGGAGAAGCCGGCTCTGATTTGATACTGCCTTCAGCAGCCTGCAAAACTACAAGCTTCGCCAATGATGGTGTAGTAGTAACAGTTTTGCTGGACGCAGAAGGTGTTGTTACAATTTTAAGAAGGGTGGTCGAGTTTATTACGCTAGTAGGAGTGGGAGATGGTTGATTTACAGTTGATACTGGAGTGCCAGGTCTCGCTGTTGGTGTCACTATCACGTACTTGGGTCCAGTGGGCGACGGAGCTCCTGGTGTTTGTGAAGTTCGGGGCACTGCCACTATCGTAGGAGGCCTGGGTATAGCCGGTATCATCCGGGGCTGAAATTTATGACATAATTTTAATAATGTTATATAGATGCCAACATGAAATTGGAAAAAAGTTACTGCAAATTTTTCACGAATTCCATTGCAAACTATTGCCACATAACCAAATGTAAAAATTTTTAAAATGTATAAGGATTAAATACAAAAGAAAATGCACCAATAACTAAAAAATTAAAATGACTTTTCTATTTGTAGCTGACCACAAAATAAACTTGAAATGCACATTATCATTATTTTGAATATTATTTAAATAAAAATAAATGAAAAAATTTTTACTAGAAAATTTCTAAACCGATAATATATATATACAAATATATATATATATACATTATATACATTATATATATCAAACAAATATTTTTAATATAATTTTTTTCTTTTTTGAGGCTCAACTTTACACTTTGGTAGCTAACGTATTTACATTTTGAAGCAAGCAACAAGCTAAGTAAAATATATTTCGAGGATACAGAATTCTTTCAAGTATGTAAAAACCAAGAGAATTTTAAATTAAACTCGCTGACGGGTGAAAAAATTTACCGAGCAGAATTTACATCTATGATAATGATAACTAAAATATGATAAGTTATTTTTTAAAATACACTATAATAACATCCTTAAAAGAAATTTACAATAAAGTAATCATTAATAGGTGTTATAGTTTTTATCAGGCTAATATCACTCTGACTAATGCAAAGTTAAAGTAACTAAATTGTTTTTATCTAAATAATTTAAATCTAAATTGTTCACAATTGTTTGTTAACAATAAAACATGAAAGGAAATTCGGCTTCGTTAATTGAATGTATTAACAAGCATTCGTTATATCATCTTTCTCACTTCAATTTGAATATGAAATACAAATAATGCACTGTGTGTATATCTACCACTACAAAAATATAATTCCAATTCCCTAGTATATAAGATTCTATGTTGGGGTACCTTTTCATAGATAAACATTGACATTGTCGATAATTAAATTCCCACATTGGTGATCTGGACGTGATGTGAACACGCCTACCTTGGTAGAAATGCCTACTATGAAGGATGGTCCACATTGAACAGTAGTTAACTTGCTACTTGTGACTGCTGCGACATTGTCCCCTCATGCTGTTGCTACTAAGTTTCGATCACACACAACGTACTACCCATACACTCGACTGCTAAAGGCAACTCAGGAGCGACCACGACTGTCAACTTAATACAGCACTCACGATCAGCAAAATTACGTGATCTTAATACAGCTCTCCTGGCTTCTCACAAAACTGCAATGAATCAAGTAGTGGTATTTGCTCATCGAATTTCATCACAGATAAAATTCTGCTGGAGGAGTACTGCAGTGTATCTACTACTAAAAAATACAATTCCTAGTATATAAGGCATGTAAACTATGTTAGGGTACCTTTTCATAAATGAAGGTTGACATTGTCGATAATTATATCCCCACAAACATATCCAAAAAAAAAAACTATTAATATTTAAAAGAAGAATTATTCCAATAGAAAAACAAAAAAACATTTAGACCTGATTTATATTATTTTAAATCATGAAGAGTGGTTCATAATGACTGCTCTTCATACATTTCTTTAGAATCCTAGTAAAAAATGAAGAGTAAAAAACTATACACATTAGGTATCACAAATCATTTAGGTGAGATAGAGCAAAGCAAGGATTAAAATCATCTAAGAACAGTTTATATGAGAATGAAGCTTAAAAGTTGGTTTCTAACAAAAGGTTCACAAATTACTGTATATACTGGTTTTAGATTATTTTAATTCCTTATTTGCTCTCGCAAATCTCATAGGTTAAGCATTACTCAGTTAAGTATTTGCAATTAATAACATGCATAGTTTTCAAATGCATAAACGTGACTTTGCAATAATAATTTTATAGCTTTAGAATTACATTAATTTGAAACTTATAATTGCATAGTTTTTATACTAAAAAAAAAAACAAATCACCATGAAGAAAAAAAGTTTGAAATTACTTGAAGAATTTTGGTTTAAGTATCATATAAAAATATAATAATTAAACCCAAATAACGTTCTTCAATTAACATCCAAAAACAACGCAGGCGATATTGTTATTGGGAATAATAAAAAGAATATTTATGTAAAGAACCTCTTGTAGATGGCTGGCACAGCAGGCTTTACCCCAGGTTTATTTATATATATTAGGGATATAACGGATATTTAGCCATTTTGCCGAATATTTGGCGAACTATTCGGCAAAATATTATTTAGAAAATTATTCTATGACAGTTTTTTTAGTGAAAATTTTAATAGATTTAATACAGAGTAATCTAAAATTGAATTTTTTACTTATATTAGAATTAGTTTTTACTTATATTTGTTAAGTAAACTTGAACTTAAAACTAGATTACTTGATTCTAAACCAAGACTTTTGTAATGCTACATCTTTTCTTTTGATTATATTTAGGCAAGGCAATTTCATCGTTTTTTTAAACACTTTATGTTTTAGAAATTGAGAACTTTTGTTTCATTCTTGCTTGTCATTCTGTTCAGCATTCTGAAAGCGAAGCTTATTAACGGAGCGTTTCTAATAGACTATATTTTCTTCTTGTACGCTAAGACAGGAACTAGCAATATAGAAAACTGATATTCTCAAAGTGAAAAATATATTTCCGAACTAAGAATTTTTTTTTCATTTGATTTTTTAAATTAATTATTTTTTTATCTGCGTTTTTGCTATGACAGAATTTTAAAAAAGCATTCCTAATGCACATTATTCTTTAATGGTTAGTTTTTCTAAAAATACGGCATGTGAAAAAGTTAAATTAAGATTTTATCGTTAAATCTTTCGTTTAAAAATTAAGAAAAATTTTTGTTTTGGTTTCTATCTAGCTTTTTTCAAAAAACTTATATTTTTATTAAAACAGGGCAACTAAGAGGGTTTTTATTAGATTTTAGTCTTCACTTTTTCTTGAAAATATGGTAATTAGGAAACTGAAATGTTTAGCCTTAAAATTTTCTTTCAAAAATTAAAATTGATTTTTATTTCTTCTGTTTTGCTTTCGTATATAATTCTTTTTTTTAGTAGACATTTTTATAATAGCGCTGTATTTTTATAAGTTTTTTTTTCCGCAAAATATTATTTTTAGCATTAAAATTTAATAAGTCTCTTAATAAGAATTAAGAGGATTTTTTCCTATTTTTTTTTTCCAGTTTAGTTTTCTTTTTATTGCTGTTAGTTTTTTTTAATCTAAAATATTTCAAAATTTTTTTTTCCCTTCACCCCCATACCAGTAATACAGATAATTTTTTTTTTTTAACCCAGCGTTGGGGTTTATGACTACTAATGTTCAACTCCGTAGCCTTATAATTTTGAACCATTCCAGAAGACAAGGAAACTCCTGGATCGGTACCCCCAGAGGTATTGATTTGTTAGGGGAACATGGAGGACTTTCCAATTTGACAGATTTAAAGTGCATCTGTCATCATTTACTGCACGGGGAGTCTTCGGCTGGCAGGGATCAAACTCATGAACTCTTGGACATGGGCCCAGTGCCCTACCAACCAGGCTATCCCGGCCTTATGGATAAGTTTTGATTATTTTTCAATAATGATTAAACTTGTTTCTATAAATAAAAAATATTTATTAATGATTTTTATTTAAACAAAATAATGCTATTTGGTCTTTTTTTTGGCCAAATATTAGGTAGTCGGTCGAATCACTATTTGTTACATCTCTAATATATATAAGCAATTGAAGAGGCATGTTATGTTCAGAAACACATTATGTCGAAGACAAGAAAAAAAAAACAAATATGGCATCACAAAAATTTAATATTTGCCTCTTATAGCATATATCAAATACTGAACAAAAGAAAAAAAGATTTAGTTCAACTGTTGAGCCAGATATCTCTAAAAGGTTAACTTTGCTATACATACCTGAGTCACAGTAAATGAAGTCCTTGCTGTAGTTGAAACAGTTGTCGTAGTTTGTTTTGCACGCATAACTTGGCTGTGCAGGAAAGGTCCTAAATAACCGAACTCATTTTTATACTCATCAAGGCTATCTCCAAAGGAGCTTCCTGTCTTCAATACAGGTGTTAAAATTCGCTGGAAAAATTGAAACAACGTTGAGCATGATTTATGAAACTATGGATAACATATGCATTTTAAACAATGAACAGAAAGCCATATGGGTAGTTCTCAAAAGGTGGAGCATAACAAAGGTCTAAACTTTAAACTTTGGCAAACAATGAAACTTAAATTTAATTCACAGTAAAAAATTTAGAATACATGTTTAATTTTACAGAGTAAAAGAAATCAACATCAATAATTGCAAAAGTTTTCTACAAATACCTTAGAAAATATTTTTAAGCCAGAAGGGCCAATTTTGAACAAATGGAAGCATTAGGTAAGTTATAATATAGAAAAGTAATAAGATAGATAAATTATATTTAGCATATCTAATCATTGAGTAGCATTAGAGAAGTTATATGTGTAAAAGATTCTTAGAAAAAGCAATTTAATTTTTTGATTATTTGCAGTTTTATCAATTTGTACTAAATCATGCTATTATTTTAGTAACAAATAGATTAAAGCAAGTACTCCATCCATTCTTCAAATAATTTTTCAAGTATCTTTATACGTTTCAATAAAATATTTCACATTAAATATAGGATACAGGATAATGCCTATAATTTTTCTTTATAAATTTATTATTTAAGGTAATTTGATGTCCCAAAAGTCAATAAAAAAAAAGAGTTTTAAATTAAATAGAAAAGTATAATGCACAAATAATAAATATGTAGTGTATCTACCACTACAAGAATATAATTCCCATTCACTAGTATATAAAACATGTTAACTCGATTCCATGGTGGGGTACCTTTTCACAGATGAAGGGGTTGACATTGTCGATAGCTACTCTCCCCACAAATACTTTGAGCATATAACATAAATATCAATAGAATTTAGAATGAAATATTATGGATCAGGATCCCACCATTTGCGACAGAAAGCCACAAACAATGAACAATATACAGAATATTACAATAGTTAGATGTATTTTTTTTTTATTCAAAAGGGTCATTGAATCTACATACCAATATAAGCTGCTTTATGTGCTCTGCTGCACTCTTATCTACACTGGTGGTCATGGGACCTTCGAGACATTGCTTTATACGTTCCCCTATGGCCTTCACTCTAGGAATTATAAAGCTGCGTACCACCTCTGGTCCCAACTCTGATAATCCAGATATACTACCATAATGAGAAGATAAAGGCATTTTATCATTGGCTAGAGAACGATGAAACATTCTAGTCACTCTTGTCTGCACATTGCTTGTTGTGGTGTTAAAATTTCTATAAAAAGGAAACACTTAGAATGAAAATTCCTAGTTTCAGAATAAAATTTTGAATTTACAGTATTAAATGCATATAAGTTGGGGTTTTGAACTAAATTATAATGAGATTTAGGATACGGTTGAACTCTTCTACCAGATTTATTTTTCTCCAAAATCTGACAGTAAAGTTAAAAAATTAACCTAAACCTAATCTATAAGATATATACCAACACAGGCTCTGTAGTGGGCTAAAGAGAAATTCAAGACAATATTTTTTTTTAAAAATAAAAAAAACAGGGCATTTATTGAAATGTTTAATAATTAAGGACATTTAAGGACACTTTGAGCCCTGAAATAAAGTAATACACATTATAAAGAAGAGTTTAAATTGCATCAAGTCGCTGTAATGAAAAACGGTTATGATTCTAAAAACAAACAAAAAAAAGAGCAAATTGGTTGCACAAAAATTACAAATTTTAATTGCAAAAATGACAAAAACAAAAAAGGAGCCCGCAGTTGTCTATGAGCATTTGAGAACTAATACTGCTTCAGGGTGTGTAGCCAGATTTTTCAACAAAAAATAAGCACCTTTTAAGGACTCAGAAAATATTTTTAATCACTTTCCAAAAAAAAAAAAAAAAAATCAGAATTAGGATCTGTGCAGTAATAAAAATTATTTTTTTCCCTATGGTTTGAATTTCTTAATTTATAAACATAAAACCAATAAAATTCAAAAACATTTTCAAAAACTTTACATTATCATGATAAAATAACTATTTTGTGATAAATATTGCAGTGAAAATTGCGAAAATCATGCACATTTTGTAATTTAAAAAGACAATCGACACTGCAAAGAAAAATCTCTTTTCAAAAAAATAGAAAATTAAGGACTTTTTACAAACCCCGAGAAAAAGCACCTTTAAGGGCTTTTAAAAAACGTAAATCAAAAGTAAGCACTTTATGAAAATGCTACGCACCCTGAGCTTTCTTAATAAAAATAAAGTTTGATTTTACATTACACCCCAATTTTGAAGCTTTACAATACACACCTACAATGCACAACACAATACAATATACACCTACATTCAAGTAAAGATATCACTACTTAAGTTACTTCTTTAGAATGCACTATTTCATTTTAAAATATACAACGGAAACAAAATTTTTAAACTTTTAAATGAAAATTTATTTCATAATATTTTCAATGGCTTTCAACTTTTATATTAGAGTACTTTATTCTACAGTCTGCAATAATTCAGTACTCATGTAATATAAAATCTGAATGTAATAATCAGTTTGTAACCTAATCCAGAAAACAAGGGGAATTACACACACATTCCCTTTTGCTCTATCCCTAGTGACCTATTAAAGAGTGTATCTAATTTAACACATCAACCCAGTGTTGCCAAAATGATTTTTTAAATAAATTTTAAAACTATTAGTATTTTTGCAAAATCATGTGAGAATAATGGATTAAAATAATGGAATCATTACAAGAGGAAAATTTTCATAATATTTCAAAATAATGCAGAAAAACAATACTTGTTTCTGGGAGTTATTTTACATAAAGCATAATGCCAGAAATACTTACTTAGCAATTTGAGCTATCAAACGAGAAGCAAAATCTCTCAGAGCCCAGTGGTTATCAACATCTGGTCTTGTACACAACTGTCTGCTCACTATACATGAACAAACAGCAGGGATGAGTTCATGAAGCTGTGAATGAAAAGAGAAATCAGTAATACATAAAAATTTGACAAAAAAAGTGCGATTTTTAAACTTGTAAACCATGTGATTATAAATCCCGATATGAGGCTTTTAAATCAGGTAAATATGAAACTCTACATCGAATTTAAAAAATGCGAAAATACAAATCATGATGCATAATTTTTAGATCACGATACATAATTTTTAAATCGCCTGATATTACAACCACAAAAACGAATCACGACATTGGATTTTAAGATCTCGTGAATACGAATTGCTACATGGGGTTTTAAAAGCTCGTAAATAAAAATCGTGATGTTGTTTTTTTAAATCTCGTAAATAAGAATTGCAATGTACAATATTTAAATCCCCTGAATAAGAATCGCAACGTTCAACTGTTAAATCAGGCAAATACGAAAATCGATGTTTGATAATAAAATCGTGATTTTAAAAATGCATAAATACAAAACATGATACTGGATTTTTAAATCTCGTAAATAGGAATCATAATGTACGGTATTTAAATAGCGTTAATAAGAATCGCAATGCGCAACTTTTAAATCACGTAAATGCGAAAATCGATTAAATTAAAATTGCGTGAATAAAAATCGAGATATTTGCAGAGTCTGGACTTGGGATTTCTAAAAGGCTTGTTTGTATTGTTTTTGTTTAGACATAATAAATAAAAATTTACAAGATTAACTGAATGAGCAAATAAATATTTTCACCGCAAATCCACCTCTATTTTTTTTAAATCTTTTTTTGTTTGTTTTCACGCCAGAATACAAGAAGCAGTGACGTCTGAATTACGAAAATACGAGCTATCCCACCGACGGATAAAAAATACTGAAAATCTTATTTTCTGTGTGTGAATTTGGAGAAAATAGCTAATATAAGTAAAAATGTGGAAGGGCTAGCAGCTAGGACGTAGTTTGAATTTTCTGTTTATCTTTGAAAATCGTAAATAAATATAATTATTTTACTTCAATGACTGAATTTTTTTAAAAAAGCGGGATATTTATAAATAAAAAAAAAAACGAAACTTTTAGAGAATCGGAGTTTTTGATAAAAAGGCTGAAATTCGAGAGACAAAAAAAATCTCATCCCTGGATAAAGGTCAACCAGTTTTATCCCAAGGAAATGATTTTTAGAGAAACTTCAGAGGGAGGAATAAGGACTTCAATAATTTCGCTCCGTAGAAAATTAAATTCCTCATAAAATATTTTAACTTGTGGAAAAAAAATTTCAGCGGAAATTAGCGAGAAAAATGGAAAAATCTGAAAAAAAAAAAGAAGTGGAAATCCGCGAAAGAATCTCATCCCTGTATATACTACCAAAAGCAACATAAATAAATTAAAAGAAAAGCTTAATAATTTCTAACTGAGGGGAAATACTTAGGAATCTATTTATGATACTCAATAAATATGAGTAAAAGGTTCGTCTTGTGGAACTATAGAACATTATAGAACACTAAGAATTCAAAAGGGAAATAAAAATCAAAAGTGCATTAAAAAAAATTATAATTAAAAAAAAATTAGGGAATTTACTTTAATTAATAGAGTTAATCTAATAGAGGTTTGAAAACCGAAGCACTACTGTATTTTTAACTTATTTCAGTGATGTTGATTATTAATATCATAAAACAGGAAAACTTTGAATTCATACCATTAAAAAATCTGCTTTAAAAAAATTGCCTTCAAATTTTACTCAAAACACAAGAAATTGCAACAGGAAAATTTAAAACACTGTTTTACTCTAGAATTATCCTTAAAATAATTTGTTAAAAAAAAAATTTATAAATGGCCACATTTCTCTCTTTTCTAATTTTCAGTGGTAAACTTTTACTGGTTGAAAAAAATAATACCTGTAAAGACACTTATTGCTTACAAATTGTGATGAGGCTATCACAATACCCTCAGTTTTCAACCTTTTGGCCTTTGCCTAAATTTCTAATATTACTTTTATGACTGTGCCTAGCACTCCTGGAAACGAATCTAAAAAAAAACTCAAACACTAAAGTTTATAACTGGAAACTACTTATTTCCACAAAATGTACGATTCAAATTTTACACGTAAGTTTCTGCAGAAAAACAGACCAAAATGTTATACTTTTCAAAAGAAAAATCTTTCTGCAAGAACTGTTCTGCGACAATGTCGCCGTGATTCTGCCGCGGGGCTAGAGTTCAACTCGACAGATTTCTCTGCAACAAATAACTTGAATAAATCTGTTGTGACCCCCATCTCTAGTTAGACAGAGCAAATAGAAAGCCCATTTGCAGAATTGGCATAGGACAAACATATTTAGCAGAACTAGAAATATCAAAAGTAAAAATAACTTACATATTTCTCCAAAAACAAAGTTTGATTATCCAATAAAGCCTTCACCATTCTCATGAGATAAATGAGTAGTGCTAAGTTGTTCTGAACAACATTCACTTTCACCTAATGGAAAATTAAACACAATTAGGGTAAGCATTTTGGAATTTCCCCAATTTCTTTGGAATTTTGGAATGCACAACGAAAGGAAATAAACTTACCCCTTCTGAAATAAACTGACTTAGACGTGGTAGCATCTGGTACAAACCTGGATCAGAAGCAAGACTTTGAAGAGCTTCCTAAAAGATAAAAAGGATAGAATTTAGATACATATCGGGCAAAAAGTTAATGCAGAAATAAGTCGCGGCAATTGTCGCCAAATGTTCTACAAATGTCGCTAAAATGATATGCATGGGCAACAAAATTGTCGCCTTAAAATCCATGCATTTGAAAAAAAATATTTTATTAATTTTATTCTACATGTAGGTTAAGTTTCAGTTATTAGATTTTTCAAATGGAATAACAAAGCGCCCGGTACAAAAAATGTTAAATGTTGAGATTTCAAATTTAGATGTGTTGTGATTTGCATTCATGTACTGACAGTGTAATTGTTCATCAATAAAACATAATTTTTTGCTATTTTAGAATTTACTTTCTTTAAATTTTTAGATAATTTCTATAATATTTTGTTAGTTTTTACTTTCCTTGTTTTCCAAACAGACTATGAGATAATGTAATAAAAAAAATTAAAATTTTGTAAATTAAAACAAATAATTTGAAAATAGGTATTTTTTTTTTAAAGAGGAGCTGCAATACTAAAGTAAATGTACTGGTACTCTCTGGCACTAAATTAAATTTAATTAGTTTAAAGCATTCTTTTTAATGCTCGTTAATAAACCATGGTTTGATCATTTTTAAGTTTCCTCCATATCACTCAGTCTTCCATTTTGTCCAGTTTTTTTCTGGTTTTTTATAATTTCTTTTGGACCAATCCTGTTTTACATTGTATCTGCTATTGAGAACTATGCTCTTAAACATATTTTTAATTTAAAATATTTCTATAAAATTAAACTTGTGAAACCTTTGCAAACTAAAATAAATGGAATCAGAAGAAAAAAGAAAACAAACAAAAACAAATTTTATCAAACAAGAAAATGTAAACAAGCAAAATGCATGTTAAGAGTAATAAACTATGGTGATCACTACATTAAGTACCAGAAAAAATAATTCAGAAACCTCCACAATTAAGAAACTGGAATGAACAATTACAATACACTTTCGATTGTCAGCAGCCTGATTCTGTAACAAAATCAGTTTCTTATGTAGGTAAGATTCTGTCAAGTGATGTTTTACTGAGGAGAGAATTCTGTCACATGATATTTTGCACAAATGTGATTCAGTTACACAATATTTTTCAAACTGATATCTCGTCTGTTTGAGAAATTTCTTCGTGCAACTTAATCGCAAGTAAAACCAATGTTTAAATAAAAGCTAAAAACAAAGTTTCATATCGCAAATTGAATCAATTATTCAAGTGACAAATCAACTCCATTATACGAAAGAAAGAAATCAATGATTCAAATAACAATGTGATACAGTGATTTAAATTTAATTGTCAAAATAATTGAAGAAACTAATACCAATCCTTATAATCTCCCCCACATATTCAAATAATAGTCAAAATGGCTAAAAAATTATTTCATTATTTCAGATTAGTTTCAAACCATTGGTACAGTTCCAAACAGTACTATATCACATAGTTTTCTTTCTTTTTTGAAATTTTAACAATGATATTTACTTTTCTGTAAAAACAAAATTTAATTAAAAAAATATCATCATCATTGGTGGCACAACTGCCAAGGGTAAGTCTTGGTACACTCTTTTGCAGGTAACTGTCATTTTTTTTAACTTTAATAACAGAAATGTCTTTTTCTAAACAATCCATTTATAGTTTTAATTAAAACATATTAATTACAAATGTAGAAGTTTTAACACAATAAAAAACTTATGGGTGACCATCTATGACTATTTTAAAGATTATCTATGGAATTCGCTGGTTCACATTTGCTGCAACACACAATGTAAAAGGATAAACAGAAGCTTACAGCATATTATGATGAATATTTAGGAATAAAACCACCGAAATATTTTACACAAAATCATTGTAGTTTTATCAGAAAAAAAAAATGATGTAATATAAAAATGGAAAAGTAAATCATCAACACTTATAGCTCTGTGTGGCTGCGTTTTGTTAGGGAGAGAATTATGTCACATGATATTTTGCACAAATGGGATTCAGTTTCACAATATTTTTCAGACTGATATCTTGTCTGCTGGAGAAATTTCTTCCAGCAACTTCCCATTTTTTTTCTTTTGAAATTTTAACAATGATAGTTGCTTTTTTATAATGACAAAACTTAATTAAAAAAATATCATCATCATAGGTGGCTGTCACATTTACACTAAATGTAAAGTGACAATTTAATCTAATCCTTTAATCCTCTTTAAACTTTATTATTTTTTTTTAAATATAGCAATTTTATTTTAACTATCTTGTTAACCTCCCTCATGGTCAACGCGGTCATTGCACTTCATGCGGGGGAGAATTAACCTCTTTTTCTTTTTTACTTCTTTTCTTTTTTAGGGAGGCTAACTAACCAATCTCTTTCCTTTAATTTTCAAACTCTCCTCCTCTTTAAATTTAATTGGCTGTAACTTTTCTGGTTCTACACCAGTTAAGGAATTTTTAAGTCACTTTTAATACATTCTCTTTCTCGAGCCTTCAGGCAGGTCACCTTCTTTTTATTCTCCGCGATGCGGACTTCGGTCCGTATCGAGGGATTTTTTTTACATTTTTTCTTAACCTTTATTTTAAATTAAATCCATAACTATAATCAATTTCTGTAAATTTAAAATCAACATTTTATACCTTCGATTTTCTTTAAAATTAAAAAAAAAAAAAAAAAAAAAAACCTTCTCGAATTTAAGCTTTTTTTTCATATTTATTTTAACCTTTAAATTACTCGTTCTTTTATATTTTACTTTTATCTATGACGCCTTTTTTGCTTTAATTCTCCCGTCGCCCATTTTAATAAAATGCCTTTCTTCTGTTAGTAGCTGTGGTGAAAGATGTAAGTTACTAAATAAAATGATATGTTAACAATTTAATCTTGTGCCGGAGAATTTATTTGCCTCTATTTTCATGATGTCTTTATCATGTCCTCCTGTATGCGTGTGGTGAGTACCTTTTTTATTGTTAAGGGAATTTGTAATTTTCTCATTGGAAACATCATCTTACTGTATTAAATGTCAAGTCTGCATCTGGATATAGCATGTCATTTATCGTTTTTATCTTTAATCTTAAATTCATTTTTGTTTCACCCTTTTTCCAAATTTGGTGATACCAAATTATCCAATTTGTTCAAACCTCACACTTTGTGACCCCCCTTTGAACCTATTGAGTTATTGTAATCCCACATTAGCTTTGTACTACCACTTTCCTTAAAGATCACTTCCCCCTTAATTTAATTAACATTTCACACTATTTTTGGCCTTAAGTTAATTATTATGAAATTCAATCTTAACTATTTTTAAGCATGACTACATCCAAATGCATATACAAATATAGGTACTCATACAAATAGATTCCAACCCACCATCTTTATATTAATACTTAAATAATTTTACTTTTATTCGCACCAATTCATATTTTTATTAAATTGTAACAGTGGCACAACAGCCAAGGGTAAGTCTTGGTCTTCTTTATTTTAATTTTAGAAATGTATTGTTCATATTGATTGTTAAAAAATATCAATTACAAACAAATGAATTAGAAGTTTAACGCAATAAAAAAATTTATGTGTGATCATCTATGACTACTTTGAAGATTATCTATGGAATTTGTTGCAACACACAATGCAAAAGATAAATAGAAGTTCACAGTGCATTATAAAAAATATTTAATGATAAAATTACCAAAATATTTTCAGGATTGCCACTCAAATCTGGAAAAAAAATCCCTGTATTTCCCTTGTACATATTATGCACAATATATTAAGAGGAACACAGCAATTACTGTGCTATATTGGGCTAACTATATTTAATAGTTTTAATTGCTGGAAAAACTTAGAGAAAAAAAAAGAAACAGCTGAACATACTTAAATAATGTTATAGTAAATTAAATAGTTTACTATAGCTGAAATATCATCCTTAAATATCTCATAGATTACTCTTTGAGAGGTCAGCATTTTTTAAAAGATGAAAATATGAAATAAATTCCCTGTATTTTCTCAGTTCTTTAAGAAAGAATTAAAATTCCCTGCCTTTTCTCTGTTATTTTAGGTGATTTTTAAATTCCCTGTATTTTCCAGGTTTTCCCTATTCTCCCTGTGGAGTGGCAACCCTGATTTTACACAAAATCATTGTAGTTTTATCACAGAAAAAAAATTCAATAAAAACATGAAAATGCAAAAAGCATATCCTCAACACTTACAGCTCTGCGTGGCTCGTCTGATCCAACACAAGCCTCAGTTATTTCTTTGTAATATAACTGCTGCTCCTATAAAACAAAATATTTAAATAACTCAAACAATTATGAAAATAAAAACAACTGCCAACATAAATAGGAAAAAACCCAGTAGAATTTATGAAATAATACTAATTTCATTACAGCTTTTGCATAATATACAAAATATTTTACATGTATGGATTTTTATATTCATCAAAATACAAAAACTTTACACTAATAACTATAAACGGTGGGTAATATTATCCATTTTTGATTGGCATTAAATGAACTTGAAATGTTTTTTTATTATGTTAACTTATAAGTTTGAATAGTAGTGGACAAGTAATTTATTATTAATAGCTAAAAAGATTTTGTAATTAATTTGAAAAGGGAGTTTGGAATAAAAATGAACGGAAAATTTTCGAACAAGAAAAAGAGAAAGAAAAGCACTTAACTGCTTACGATAATTGAGGCTCATTTTCAATATGTATAATTAAATTTGATTTAAATATTTCAGCAAACAATGAATTGTGTGAAAATTCTATTTCAAACTGAATTTTTTTTTAGAAAAATTACTCAATTTTAGGGAATTTTCTAAAATGTACAAAAACCAGTAGAACTTTTATTAAACCAAAAGAAACTGATAAAATCCAGTAGAGTTGGCAGTTATGCTTACTTAATAGATAATAATTATCCTAATAAAACATCGACAACTCTTATCAATTAAATTTCTGCCATTCTGTTCACTCGGCGCCGAATGAAAACTAACAGGGAAAAATCAAGTTTGAATTTCACTTTATACAAATATTAAACAGACATTCAAACAGACACATGTTTCAATCACAAAATATAAATATGATACTCTTCTTTGTTGCTGTTTTAGGCAGACCTGATAAGTGCTTAGATTCCTTTTAATATTACAAAATAATAAATGAGTCTTTTGTTTTAAAATAGACTGTGTGACTGATTAAGCATTTTTTTTAAAAAACATCATATAAAGGCTTTACCGAAACATTTTCTGATTCACTTTCTCAAGGCAATAAATCCCCCCCCCCAAGTTTGTTTTGCCTAAGAAAAATAGAATCAACTATGCAATTTCACTATGCAGCTGATTATTCTCTCACGCGTGAAGAATGGTTAATACAGCCAGTTTTAACTTGCCCAACACACTGAGAGAATTACTTTCCTGGCAACCAAATTTACCCCATTTCATATAGATCTAATCAAAAGAATGAAAAATTCTGAAATGTCTTAGCACTATAAAAAAAAAAAAACTGAGTTTTTAGAACACCAAGAAAAGAACTTAATTCTCTTTTCTTAAAACTTCCACTGACTCTCAGTTCACAAAAAATTTGGTGCTAAGAAAAAAACAATTGAAACACTCAAATTATCTATTTTATCATGAATTCAGCTAGCAATCTAAAAAAATAAACACTCTGTATAGCCTTTTTTAAAAGAAGTGTTATACTTTTTTTCTTCTTTGGTTTAACAGACATTCTCACAAAGGTTCCAAAGTGGAATTAAAGATAAAACAAATACGAACTTCTTAGTCTGGTGGAAGGAGCTTTAGGAGTTGCATGCATAAAGTACTTAGATCTGCCAATTTATACACCAATTAGAAAAAAATACTCTGGTGGACTTGCTGTCCTAAGATTAAATAGAAAAGCCTTAAATATTGGGCCAAAACCCTGAGAGTTGGCAAGTCAACGATGGTTAAATAGCGAAGAGTGGGGTGGGATTTATAGAAAGCATACTTGCCAACTTTTATTCCTTTCAAGGATGATTTTTCCCGGTAGTAGTATGGAATTTAAATTACAATTTTAGACAGAAACATAAGCTGTATTCTGAAAAAGCTTACGCAGCCTACCACGACAGTATTACATATTAATATATATTCGTCATTTTTTTAAAAATAGCGGTGATAAAAAATATTATAAATTAAGTTCATGAATGCAAGGATTATGTAAAAAGCATACACTTTACTACCACTATAAATATAGAAATAAAATGTTACACCAAAAGCGTAAAAATTGGCAGGTATGAGAAACTAATATTAATGGTGTGGAAAAAATACAATTAAAAAAAATAAATATCTTACCACAGACAATTCATGAGTAGCAAGCTGCTTCAAGCGAACAATTTCAAGCTGTTTAGAAATTTCTTCCTTTGAGTTTTTGTTGGCTCCAATTTTAGGCGTCTTAGCAGAGGGATCCATACTTTCAAGCTTTTGCTGATCTTTTGAAACTAAAACAAATTAAATAAATAAATTCAATCAAACTAAACTTTTGCTGTTTTTTTTAAAACTAAATCAAATTTTATCAATAAAATTAAATAAATTTTGTTAGTCTCTTGAAACAAAATTTTACAAATGAAATATCAAGTAAATTCTTAAAATGGCAACCAACAATATTGTAATGTACAAATCTATTTTAAACATTATGAACCATTTCTAAAATATAAATATTTTCATGATTCATTTTATTTATTTATTTTTTTGTTTATAAAAGTTTAGTGTGATTTTCTATGTGAGTGTTTATTTAAGACAAGAGTAGAGATTTTGTCAAGGGAACAGAACTAAGAAAATATTTCAATTTAAAAATAAAAAACCTAATTGTGATTAGGAAATGTATTTTTGAATCATTATAAATAAATTTAAGTAATATATTTGTTGCTACTAAGTTAGTTTATAGAAAATTAAATTTAGGCACACAATTATGTTATGAGCCTAAAAAAATAAAAAATTAAAAGTTTTTCTTATTAACTATCATTGTGAGATTTAAAATACAAGATATTAGGGAATGTAATGATTGAAAGATAAGAGTAGTGAATAATTGAGAGTAAATAACAACAAATAAGAATAATTTTTAGACCAAAGGATAAAAATACATTTTTTCCCTTTGAGTTCAATGAATAATTATTAAAAAAATGAAGAAAAAAAATTCTTATTTAAAAAAAAAGTAAAAGTTTCTCTTAATAATAATTATTGTGAGATTTAAAATTCAAAATATTAGGGAATGTAATGATTAAAAGATAAGAGTAGCGAATAATTGAGAGTAAATAACAACAAATAAGAATAATTTTTAGACCAAAGGAAAAAAATACATTTTCCCCTCTTTTTTAAAGACGGGATGAATTTAATATGGCATATAACAAAAATCAGAACTATCAAAAAGAAAATTGTTTGATTACTTAAGATCATTATGCCAATGATTGATGATTGAAATTAAGATTTTTATCACTTTTTTTATTCTTTAAAATAAAAAAGTTATAAATATGACTCTTGCTTTTAAAAAGATTTAGTAGTAGTATGAGATTTTAAATCAGTAAAAGAAAAATTAGAAACTTTCAAAATATCATAACTAAGACTGGGCGATATAAGAAATTTTATGTCATGATGCATTGTCAGTTTTGCATCGCGGTATAGCAATGTATCCGGATATAGTATTTTTGAAATTCATTTACTTGTAAGGCACAGAAAGTCGGATTTCTATCAAAACTTCATACTCAGATTGATTTAAAGCAATTTATGATTTTGAAGATATATGTTTTGTTTAAGAAAGATATTAATGTTACATTTTCCACAAATGATCGCGCAAATAATGGAAGATTTCTTAGTTTAAAAATAAATAATTGAGAAATAAATAAAATTGAAATTTATCAATATATTTACCTAACAATATAGAAAGAAAATGTAAAAAATAAGTTCGTCAAGAATTATTTGTATGCTTAAAACAAAGTGCTAAATGAATTTTTTAAAAAAAAAGCACTTTTAAAACAACACTATTTTTTATCATCATTATTTCACATAAATAATAAAGTTAAATTGAATAATTACCGAAGTAGAATTTATGAAANTTACTAATTTTTTTGAATAAACAGAGTTGATTGACTTATGTCCAAATCCAAAAGAGGAAAAATAAGTTTTGTTATAATTTTATTTATAAAAATGAAAACAACTAAAGATTTATAAATTTAAAATCAGTAATAAAAACCCATTAAATTATTATTTTATCCAAAAAATTTTTAATAAATTAAAATAAAGTAAAAAATAGCCTAACAAATTTAATTACTTTGCAATTTAATATTTTATGGGCACCTTAAACTAGATTTTCGATTATAGTAAATTCAATGATGTAAAAAAATATTTAAACATATAATATTAAGATTAATTTTCACATTTAAAAATAAAAAAAAAGTTTTTTTCAAAAAAAAATTTTACCTAATTAATTAAGAAACATTTCTTTATATATTCTTTTCAATAATAGATTACGTTCCAGAACAATGTAACAATGGCGATCACAAAGTCAGTCCCACTGAAAATAATCTATAAGAAACGATATCAAGTCGCGACAAAGAAAAAACTATGAGGCGCGAAAACGAACATGCGAGATCACGATTATATTCTCAAAACTATAGTTCTGATTCTACTACTCATCAATCAAGGCCATTTCAACATAACGAAACGAACATCGTCTTCCACAGCGCGAGTCGGTATCAGTTGCAAGAAGATCCTTGCGCGTCTTATATCGATACATCGGTTTGCGCTCAGCGTCTTTAGTCTACGGCTTAAATCAGATTTCTGATGCATTGCCTGTAACGAAAGTTGTGTATCGGCTTGCTGATATATGCGTTAAATCGATATATCGTGATACATCGATTTATAGTCCAGTCCTAATCATAACTTATCATTTTTTACATAAGCTTAAGCAAGTATTGTAATGCATTATGATTAATAAAAAACATAATTTTTTAATAAACAATGCAATAAAAAAATGCAGAAAATATGCAGTTCTGAGATATGTGCTTTGACTATATCTTGTTATTTTATTCACTGACAGAATTCATTAATAGAAAAAATTAACTATTTTAATAAAAAATGAATAAAACAAATTTTTGTCCTTCCTTTTGAAAGGAAAGTTTTTAAGGGAATTTCTCTCGATTTCTGTAAACTTATGAACAATCTATTTATTCTTGTAAACAATTGCAAAAGGCAGTTTGTCTCATTATAAATCCATCTGCCCGTAATCTGCTACTTTCTTTATCACAATTATAATTGCGAAGTTAACAATTATATTTTTCTCACCTAGCCTTAATATGTATTTTAATAATCTGAAACATATTTTTTAAAATAAAGAAAACTAAATATTATAACTTACTCGGAGGTGGGTTTTCTGGAATGGTGGGTTGGATACCTTCAATACTTAACCAGTGAGCTATAAAAATGTATGCATAAACATTATTAATGCGAACAATATTAATCACAACAATATTTAAATAATATTAAGAATATTAGCAAAATCCTAGAAGCAGAAAATTTAAACAATCTGAGAAATTAATGATAAAACTGTTAACTACATAAAAGAGCAAATTCTTATAAAAATGTTAAGTGTGTCAGTAGGCTTTTTATTACACATGGTAGCAACTTTCTAAACAAAATCACATTCTTTAAGAATATAAGAGTAAAATTAAGAAAATGTAACAGAATTCAATTATTTAAATTAACATAATTTTAAACTTAATATAAAACTTTACTTTTTAAGAATTTCTTTGCAAAGGCTGAAATTTTTTTACATTAATTGTTAATTTTATTGAATTTAAATTTATTTTTCATAATTAATATTCTAATAATTGATTACAAAACAAAAATGCTACTATTCTAATTTCAATAACAGAAATACTTTTTTGATACAGAGATAAATTTATAAAATTGTTGATTAGAGTAGAATTGAAAAATTCATTAAAGCCGCATAATTGATAAGAAAAACAATGAATTTGGCACTAAATGATTGTTAACCACTTCTCGGTTTTGACCGAACACCGTTCAGGTACTTGAAAAGGGGCCTTCCCTGCTTTGCCCGAGCGCCGCTCATGCGATTGATTTTTTTACTCTATTGCAATGATTTGCCCGAATTGTTTCTGTCTTTAATTTACAATATTTCTGACAGATGGCTCTGGTAGTCCAGTAGAGGTATGATTGCAAAAGGTTTCGGCACTTTTCTTTTACGCGGGAAAAGGCGTGAATTTTGTTTTCACTAGCTTAGTAGAAAAGCCAACTTTAAGTAAAAATGCAATTGTTTTTGCTCTAAATAAAAATTAAAATTATTTCATAAAATCAATAATTGTAATAGTTTTGACTCTTGATTTGAGTTTATATAATCGATTTTAACAGAAATTTGTTTCTCAAAAATATGCTTATTTTTTACCCATTTTGCAAGAAAAAAGACGCTGTTAAGCGGTTAAACCATATTAATCATAATTCTATCTTTATAAATAAATTCTAGTAGAATTGTGCTAACCCAAACACCAGATATTAGATTATCAGAATTATATGAAGCCTTTTATTTTATATATTATAATTATTATGAAACAAAATTTAGCATATGGAAGTAAAAACATCATTTATCGTGCTAAATTTAAATAATACTCAATAATAACACAGAGAATCTAATAAAATATATAAAAGCGACTATTTTCAGCACATTAAAAAACAATATTTTTCAAAATAGAGCAAGCCATAAAATAGTTAAAAACATAATATTACCCTTAAATATTTGCATTTTCTGTCTAGAAAAAATACAATGCAATGAATTTAAAGAAAATTGTGAAGAGAAGAAAGAAAAACAATCTCGAAAACAAAACCTAACTGGCAGCATTTTTACTTTGTTGGCAAGAAATTTTACAGTGTTCTTCGAAGTTCTTTAACCAAGAATAATAAAAATTTCACAAATTAAGGGCTATAAACTTGAAGCAAAGCTATAAATTAAAGCTATAAATTAAAACTATATATATTATCTTGCCTTCAAGAATTATATCACCTTTAAAGCAGACTAATATCTTAAATATTTTAAAAGTTATTAAACAATATTTACAATTTTTTTTTCTTTAAATTTCCTGAGTTTTTTCCACCTAGATGAAACTTATCAAAATCAATGTTTGCAAATTATAATGAGCCTAGATAATCAGTGTTTAGATAACTTTTAAACCAATTATTTAATTTTTATTACATTTTATAAGAAGCAAATGTAAATATTTATTCTCTTCTTAACAATCAATGTAACAGCAAATTTTTAATTTCAATGTATATGTAAAACTGCACATGCATATGTCAAGTATAAATGTAAAACTCATTAATTCACTGTCACAACTAAATTGAACATCAAAATCTATTTATAACTCTTTATTCCTTATGTTACTTTGTTTCTTTTACCACAAGAATATTTCAGTTACAGGGCTATATTATTTCTCACAGTCTTTTTGGCAACTAGCTATTGCCAAAATTATTTCAAATTTAATATTGATTATGGGGTGTTGGTTTTGTTTCTAGCTATTTTATCTTTCAATAAATCGCCAATATTAGATCTCTTCCCATGCTCCTAACTATCTGTTGGGAACAATTCACTTCACTTTTAATTATGAATTCTTGGCATAAGGACTGGGGTGTTTTCAACTCCTCAGTTCGACCGGTAATTAGTTTTATAATAATTCTTGACATGAGAGAATGAATCTCTACATCCCTTTAACGAACCTTGCATTTTTTAATGATTTTAATGTCTGGCCATATTCTTTTTAATAATATTTACAAAATAAATAAAGCATAAATTTTTGTTTAAATGATTTTGTTCATTTCTCTGGGATGAAATATCTCTCTTTCATAAGCGACAAAAATGTATCTTCCAAAGCAATTGTCCAAAAATACTGTCATGAAATTACCTCCTCTAAGTTGGACTAACCACCACCACAAAGCATAGATACTTTTTGCATTTTCACAGAACAGTGACTATTTCCAATTGACGTTTTGTGCCATTTTCAGTATTAACATAGAGAACGTTAGCAAAATTTAACCTAACAGTCATAAAAAAGTGCAAACTCATAACAATTATGAATATTATAGACCCAGAAGCAGAAAGTGCCTAAAACTGCGACGTACGTCGCAGAACAAACGAAGTCCTGCAGAACAATTTGTATCTTGAATAAGTGACAGATTTTCTAAAAGACCAAATGATTTCGATGGAGATGAAAAAGTTGTTGAAGAAGATGTTGGAACAACAGACAAGCGAATATTTGTGTTGTCAAATGATACAGCATCTGGACACTTATTCCTTTGAAAGATTTTTAAGCCAGCCCATATTTTGATGCTCGGAACTTCATATCATAGGCATTTTAGTAATAATTCATTATCATCGTAATTAACAAAATCGTAATTAACAAAATTGTACTTCAAAAGTGATTGAAAAAGTAATAAATCAAGAATGTTTGCCTTTGCTTAAAAAATAATGTAGGTGTATGATCCTGTATTTTAATAAATGAAAATATTGTATTTTAACGTAAAATTGGCTTTTTCGCTGTGAAATGCTTGCAGAACATTTATATAAATCAATAAGTCCTGTTGCAGAACATTTGAAAATATTCTGCTTATGGGAATGTGTGNAATATTGTATTTTAACGTAAAATTGGCTTTTTCGCTGTGAAATGCTTGCAGAACATTTATATAAATTAATAAGTCCTGTTGCAGAACATTTGAAAATATTCTGCTTATGGGATTATAGATATTTTAGTAAAAATCGTTATTTCCAAAAACTGCAGAGACAACCCCCTAAAAAAAGCTTTAATAAAATATAATAGCAATCATATTCAATACATTAAAGAAAAATAGTTTGAAACATAAAATTAACAAATCATTAAAATGTATAAATAAATAAAAACAATATTCAACCACAAATAATTCGCCTTTTCTGTCCAGAAACAAATTATTATAAAGATTAAAGGTATGTAATCAACAAAAAGAAATTTTGAGATCAGATGAGTAATCAGAAACTTAAAACCTGTCTGTCAGGCTTTTTACATCTCTGATATAGATATCTAAACATAGTTAAAAAGTTTTATTAAACACAGAAACTGTAGTGAATTTTAAAACATTTATAATACCTTTCACAGCAACGTCAAGGGGTAGTTTTGGCATTTGTGCTCCAACTATATCACTCAATTCCATTTCTTTTTCTTCAGTAAAATAAATTTCACGTCCACCACCACTGGCGAATCGAAAAGGTATAAACTCTCGACTAGTAAAACCATAGACTGGCTAAAAAACAAATAAAAAAAAACAAAGTGGAATAAACAAAAGTAAATATAAACGAAAAAACCTGTAAAGATAAGATATTTTTTAGACATGGGACAATCCAGATCTTTTTTTTAAAAGGTCTTGTTTTCATGAAATTGGAAAAAATTTACTCATAATTTTGCAAATCAAAAATTAGATTTAAATCATGTTTTTTTTCTCTTCTTTTCAGCTTTAAAATTTTGATTTTGAGAAAAATAGCAAAAAGTATTTTTTTCCTGCTTTTAAGAAATTGTGAAAAAGTTACTCGGAATTTTATGAATAAAAAATTAAGTTTAAATCAGATTCTTTCTCACAAAGGTCCTGATTTTCAGTTTTTGCCAATTATTAAAAATAAATTTTTGATTTTGCGAAAATCCGCACATACAGAAAAAAATACAAAATGATGCTCAGTAAAATTGTAATTGAAGTATGTAGAAAAAAAGAGGAAGAAAAACTTACAAGAAAGCATTCAATTTTTACACAAATAAATACTATTTTCAACAACACGATTTAAGTTAAAGAAATTTTAAAAAAATATTTTATATAAAGATCAGAACTGAAAATTACAAAATAAAACATCAAAATTAATGAGAAGATAAAAAAAAAAAAAAACTTATTTATTTATACACACTTCTTTCATAGATTTAAAGCCAATATCAGAGAATACAGCATCTCAAACTTAGAAATTTTAGATTTGCTTTGGAATAAGTGCCAAGTTTTAAAATGCAAATAAAATTAGATAAACTATTCAACAAATGTAAGCAGAAAAATACAAAAGAAAAAAATTATAACAATATATGCAACAAAATGTGTGACGAGATTTCTGGTTTGTTTTTAAAGTGAAAAATATTGTCAATAGCTTGATTTACAAAGACTTCGTTTGACAAAAAAACATTTTAAAAATAAAAAATTTCAAACAAGACACATTTTAGCTATATATATATATAAACTAAGTGACAGGCACATTTTAACTATAAAACTAAATGAAAGGCACACTTTAACAATGAAAAATTATAAGAAACAAACATACAAACTAAATTAAAAGAAGAGTATGTGAAAGGCACATTCTAACTATAAAAAATAATGTGAAGGGTCTATCATCAGATCCAAATTTTTTCTAAAATGAACACTGTTAACCAAGGATGCACAACCTATAGCTCCCAAAGACTTTTAACTATTTCCCTGAACTGTCTAAAAGATTAATAAAAATGAAAAAGAAAAGAGTAACAGAAAGTTACTGATCTAGTTCACAGACTTTTTCAAAGTATAAGAATGTGATAATTTCAGTTTCATTATGAAAATTCTATTTATGCAATGGAGTTTAAAATGAAATGTAATTACTTCTAAATTTGTAAATAGAGAAGAAAAGTAAATTGCACAAGTGGATAAGATAAAACACAATTTCAAAATTCTAGCAACAGTCATCATGAATCTGTTGTAACAAATTTTGTTTTCTAAATAATAGTGAAAGTTTTTAATAGTAACTTTTAGGATGAATATAAATTTAAGAACTAACTTTTTTGTTGTATCCCAATGCCTAAATAATAATAATACCATAATTTGCTTTTGTAATTTAATAAGAATTTAAATTTATTTACACAAATTATTTATCTGCACAGAAGCAAAAGATAAATTACTCGCATTTTAATAATTAAAGCATTAATATCAGTGGTAGGAAAAACTACATTTTGTTTGTATTTAACTACAACTAATTTGTTTTAAATGTAGCGACTACTAACTACTTTCCAAACCACCACTTTGCTACTTTTAGAAGACAAACTTAACCTTAAAACTTAATTTTCACCAATATTCAAAATGATTCTGAATAAAAAATTGGCTTGGTTGAACATGAAGAAATAAAGAAGTTTTAATTCATGTTTACAAGACATAGTTTCTAATTCTAAAGCACTTTTAACTAATTTGTTCTTTAAACTTTCAAACTCTATGCTTTTCTCAACACTGATTTAAGAAATGCTAGGAAATTATCAAATACTTGTGATAGAAGAAATCAATGTTTTTTTATATCCTCCAAGAAATAAAGTACAGTGCAAGAAACAAACAAAAAAAAAAATGGTTCAAAAAACATAAATCTTATACTATTTTGTGCTTATTGTTGTGTGATTATACACATGTGTTTATTCCTCGTATGAGATGTGTTAAGGGTTCTTCGCGTTTACAGTACGTCAAAAAAAAAAGCAACACCCTGAATAACTTTTAATTTAATGATCGGATCAACACGTTCTAGAACTTAATCCTAATGGTTTGAGGTGGTGACCACAAATATGCTAATTAATTAATGCAGAAGATATTTCAAGTTACAAAATCTGGCACAAAAACGTGCTGTATAGTTCCTGTGAAATCGAAATTTTAAGGAAGTCAGATATTTAAAACTCGATTTCTCAGGAACTACTCGACCAATTTTGCACCGATTTTTCCGAACATTACACTTAGATCTTATTAATGCTGGGCCACAGAGGAAATTCTCACTGTGTACGTTGATGGGCCCTCAAAGGATTTGCACTAACCAGATTCCAAGAAACTTTTTGCGCTTCAACATTGTTTCTTTACTTTACGAACGTTAAAAGTAGTTGCCAGGAATGTCTACAAACTACTGCGTTTTTGCATTGAACTTCTCACTACACTATTAAAAATAACTGCACTACACTACAAACTGAGGAAAAAAGTAGCAGCCTGCAGTAGTTTCACTACTGTGTAGCACTTTACTTTCAACCACTGATTAATATTAATGTTGGCCTCTGGCTCTGTCTTTTATGACCCATTAACCAAAATTCTTTGTACTTCCCTGCTGTTAACAGTCGCAAGTCGATTAGAGTAATAGTCAAATGTTGCAAACTAAATTCACAAAACATTTTTATTTCTTATGACAAAAGTAACTTACTTCTATATTTTTGACTTTTAAAGAGTGATCAATATCTGTAACACTTAGTCGCTTGCGTTTGGAATGACTCATAAATTTCTTGGCATCCTATAAATTGAATATAAATTTATTTACAATGATTAAATTAAATACCCATCATACAAACATTAGTTTACTTTCGTGAAAAAATTAATTTGAAAAAAAAAAAAAAGACATTCACAGAATCATCAATTTACTTGAATATTGAATGATATTTTGTCAACTTTACTATATTAGATAGAATGCAATTTGTTTACTTAAATGCGGAAAGTTAATCAAATCGATAATTAAAAATTTTTATGGAGGAAAAATCATAATTAGGTTACAATTATCTCATTAAAAATTCTTACAAAAATGTAAAATAATTCTGTAATGATACAATTTTTAAATGATCAAATAAAAAAAAAAGTAATTCAATAAAAAAAAGAGATGGTCTAAGTGAGATAAGAGGATTATAAGACGGTCAAGTTGACTACATTTGGCTGATGAAAAAGGAGATATTTGGTGGCAACTATAATAGCCAAAGAATTAAAGTTGCTAAAATTAAAGAAAAAAATTGAAACAAACAATAAAAAATCTGTATGAGCTATAATGTTTAATTGTCTCCCATTTTGCAATATTTTTTTTTTTTAAATATTTAGCATGACATTGCTTTAAATTCACTAAAAGTAGGATTTACTTTGTCGTAGGTATGATAAATCTAAACAGATATTCAGTGATAGGATGTAAGATTAAAAAACGCAAACAAGATTGAATAGTGACGACTATAATAAACCGATTTTTTAAATAAATAAAATTTTAAAACAATTTCTCAAGAAATGAAATGTGCAATTTTAAAAGCCTCCATATTAGCACCTGAACCAAATTAATAATCAATTTTGGAGACTTCCGGGCATTAGCAGGCCTGAAACTAAAAAATTACATCTCGGAAAAAATATATGACAGAATAAAAAAACATCACTAACTAGAAGGGAAAAGCTTGCAACAACCCTCAGCAAAAACAACTACATATTTTTTTAAAATTTTTTATTAAGATGTAGAATTGGAAGCCCCTTGGTAAAGAGCTAATTTTCTACCAATTTTACTGAAAAACCAGGGGGTTACTAGTTACTATGGTATTTTTTGCTTTCAATGTTGTCTACCTTCTTGTTACGGCAACTTTTGTTAGCCGTAATATGACTGTTTCATGGTTTATTTGGGGATATTTCTGTATCATGATCTGTTGTGCTAACTACAACCATCAAGGCAACAAATGGATTTTAAACTTGCATTTTTTTTTTAATAAAACAGGTAGGGGGCCGTTCAAAAAGTACGCACATCCCGAAGGGGGGGAGGGGATTTGCTATTATGTACGGCTGTGATGGCTGAAAGTTGCACCCTTCGAGTTGGCCCTCTTTTGTGCTTTAGTTTTTTGAGGGCCGCACGTTGAAAGTTGTCAAAACATGTCTTGTTATTTTTCCACAGATCAGGACATGGTATAAATTCCCTTTCTTATATCTGGAGATCTCCAAATATAAAAGGAGTGTCCCACTATAAACTATTACCTAAATTTTCTTTTGTTTAAAAACTTTTTGGCATCATGGCAATCATTATTCATTATAATAGAAAATAAATGGGAAGATTCTTGTATCGTGATCTGTGGCAGAATAATCACAGTCTTGGCAATTTCCGGGCAGCAGCTTGCGAGAAACATCACAGAAACAACTCGAAAAGTATAACTCATAGCCAGCCACCTCCAGGTAATCATTCACATGTTTTTTTTAAAAAAATTGCAAGTTTTAAATCAATTTGACACCTTGGCGATTGTAGTTGGTGCGACAGATAACGATGCGGAAATATCCCCGTAAGTTGCCCATTTGTTTAACTTAGAATAAATTCTTGGCATTTTCAGTTAAACAAATAGCGATTTTATTTAACTCTATTAGGTACCAATCTCCCCATTTTTGGCAAGTAATAACCAATTTATTTCAAACAATTAATTATCTCATAACATTAATCAACCTGGATAATCATTTTCATCCGGTAACTGACATCATCAGCTAGTATTTTTGCGGCTTCATCGGAAATATTAGACAAACCAATTGATTCAGCCACAATCTTAACTGATTCCTGAGACATATTACTACCGCATCTGAACTCTTTTGAGCTTCCAGCCATTTTCTGGCTATTTTGTTGATATTTCATTAGAAACACAAAAAAAGAACTCAAGTCAGAAATGATCAAACCAAACAATATTCGCTATTATTCTCAAGTTTGCTTATTGCTTAAATGAAAACGCTTTCTACTGCCTATATTTGTGCATCTTTTAAAAGTTTCTTAAAGTTTTGTTTTGCATGATATTGTTTGAAATATGTAGAAAATTAGTAAGCTAAAAGCGTAAAAATATTTTCACACAGTTCTTCGAAACTCATTGGGTAAAGGAATAATAATAAAAAAATAATAATTAAAATAAAATGGCGGGTTGGGGCTCGAATTTCGAAGCCGTCTATCTCCCTTTAATATTAAGTTATAATTTTCAAACTCGGACCCTAGGTGAGTGGTATGGTGGTCAAGACACC